CTCGGGAAGCTGAGGCAGGAGGATCGCCTTGAGTTTGAGGCCAGCCTAAACTAATAGTGAATTCAAAACCAGCCAGAACTGTGCTTGCTTTGGCAGCACACATACTAAAAAGCAGCCAGAACTACATAGCAAGACCTGTCTCAAAAAACAAAGCGAGCAAGCCAGGAGGGGCCCTCACCGGGAACAGAGCCTGCCCAGCCTTCAACTGGAACTTCTGACCCCCAGACTAGGCCACTGCACTAGGTCCCTCCCCCTGTGGCAGGAGACTGTCCAGGTCTCCTCCTGCTGGCCCAAGCTGTCTAGGCACATGGCAGCCATCTGTCCCTCTGGCAGATGCCACTGAAGATGAAGGAGGTGAGCTGGCCAGCTGAGGGTGGGAGGGCCAGTTCCAGCCCAATCTCAGCAACTCAGCAAGACCTTGTGGCAAAATTAAATACTCGGGGCCAGGGATTTAGCTCAGTGGTGCCGCCGCCTGCCTTGAAAACAGAAGGACCTGAGTTCGATTCCCAGTACCAAAAAAAAATTTAAATATTCAAAAAGGTTGAGGGTGTAGCTCAGTACAAGGGAACTGAGTTTAATCTTAAGTACTGGAAAAAAAAGACAGTGACCTGGGGCCGGGGATTTAGCTCAGCGGCACCACGCTTGCCTTGCAAGTGCAAGGTCCTGAGTTTGATCCCCGGTACCAAAAGAAAAGAAAAGAGAAGAAAAAAGACAGTGACCTTACAAAAAAGAAAACTTCCCAAGGACCAAAATAATGAGACTGATGACGATGACAAAACCATGGCTGGGGCAATGGGGAAGGTGGGTGCCACTCAGTTTCACTGGGGAACCACATGCACCTAAAGGGGTAGCTGAGCGGGACAAGGGTGTCCCAACTGTGGCCACCATAGGAACAGTTCTGGAAGTGCCATACTGGGAACAGGGGCCTGGAACAGATATTGGTCTGCCGAACCTGGGGCAACCTGGGCCCATGGGCCCTCTGAGGTCTTTTCTTTATTTATTTTTGGTTTTGGGGGTCCTGCTATGTGGTCCAGGCTCGCCTGGAACTCATAGTGATCCTCCTGCCTCAGCCTGCCAAGTGCTGGGATAACAGGTGTGTGCCATCACGTCTGGCAGTAATACAGTGGACCCTCAAGTTACAACCAGCCTGACATATGAACTTGGGTTACGACCGGAATTTTAGTTTTAGCTTACAACCCAAATGCTGGCCACTTGTGCTTCCAGATGGTTTTGGATACAGATTTAACCCTTGAAGAGTTCTGGAAGGGACATGACAACATCCTTTCTTGGGGGGTTAATTGAGAAATCCTGGGCCAGTGTCTCTAAGGACAGAGATCCACCTGTGTACAGGAGAGAGACTCTGAAGGCTGTGTAGAGGAGCCTGAGCCTTCACTGACCAACTTGAGTTACAACCAGCCCTTGGGAAAAAATTGAGTTTGTAAGTCAAGAGTCCACTATACTTTTTCTTTTTTTTTCTTTGCTTTTTTCTTTCTTTCTTTCTTTCTTTCTTTTTTTTTTGAAATAGTCTCACTATGTAGCACAGGCTGGTCTTTAACTCGCTATGGACCCCAGGCTGTCCTGGAACTCACAGTGATTCTCCTGCCTCAGCCTCTTGAGTGCTGGGATGACAGGTGTGTGCCTCCAGACCCAGCCATATTGAATTATTATTATTTGGGGGGGGGGTACCAGGGATCAAACTCGGGACCTTGTGCTTACAAGGCAGGTGGTAGAACCACTGAGCTAAATCCCTGGCTGTATCGTATTATTATTTTTTTTTTTTTTTTTGGTACCAGGGATCAAACTCGGGACCTTGCACTTCCGAGGCAGGTGGTGGAACCACTGAGCTAAATCTCCGGCCCTATATCGTATTATTTTAATGACAACAAAGTCTCAAGCTTGCCCAAGTGCTAGGGGAGAGTTACATTCCACATCTTGACGGGAAGTGGCGGGCTTCCAGGGGAACATTTGTGGTGGGAGATATTATTGGGGCTACCTTTGACAAACACAATCTGCCGCCAGGCCCTTCGAAAAGCAGACGGGTGGGCTAGACGGAATAACTCCATGCTGTTTCCAGGAAGCAGCTTGAAGTAGAGACACAGACGCCTCAGAAAGCGACGGAGAGGAATCCAAGATGGAGTTCCCCAGGGGGACAGAGGACATTTCACAGTGGAAAAGGCAGAGAACCATTCAAACGTGTGAGCAACTGAGAGCAAATCTCCCAAATACTGGAGACAAAAACTGGTGATACTAAAGTGTTCTTGCTGGGTGTGGTGGTGCATACCTGTAATCCCAGCATTTAGGAGGCTGAGCCAGGAGGATTGCCGTGAGTTCCAGGCCAGCCTGAGCTACAGTAGTGAGATGCTGCCTCAATAAACTCAATATTAATAAAGTAAAGTAAATTAGACTTCATCAAAACCAAAAACCTCCTTTTTTTTTCTTCTTGCTACTAGGGCTTGAACCCGGAGGTGAGTTACATCTTCAACTATTTATTTATTTATTTATTAAATTTTGAGACAAGGTCTAAGTTGTCCAGGCTGCCCTGGGACTTGTGATTCTCCTGCCTCGGCCTCCTGAATGGCTGAAATCACAGGCCTGCACCAGGATACTGGCTCAAAAACATGTGCTTTTAAAGAGACAATAAAATGAAAAGGCAGGCCACAGACAACAAGGAAAGATTTGCAAAATGCATATCTATTAAAGGACTTGCATTCACACTATATATATATATATATATATATATATATATAAAACTCTTACTACCCAAAAGTGAGAAAACTTTCTTGAACATTGGCAAAAAAATTTCTTTGGGGTGGTGGGGATGGAACCGAGGGCCTTTGTATTCCAGGCAAGTCCTCTACCACTGAGACAACCCCAGGAAAATTGACAAAGGGTTTCACTGGTACTTCACCAAATAAGATACACAAAGGGCAAAGAGTTACATGAAAAGATGTTCAATATTAGGGCCAGGGATTTAGCTCAGTGGTTCTGCCGCCTGCCTTGTAAGCGCAAGGACCCGAGTTTGATCCCTGGTACCAAAGAAAAAAAAAAAGATGTTCAATATCATCAGGTATAAGCCAAATGCAAATTAAAGTCCCAGCAAAAGGCCACTAAAATTAGAGACTGGAGCTGGGCATGGTGGCCAACGCTTGTAATGCCAGCACTTAGGAGGCTAAGGCAGGAGGATTGCTGTGAGTTCGAGGTCAGCATGGGCTACATAGTGAGTTCAAGGCCAAGACTCCATTTAAGGATCGCTGATACCTAGAGCCGGCTCGGAGCACATGGAACTCTCAGCCGGGGCTGGTGGGTGTGCAAAATGGTACAATGAGTCTAGAAAACAATCTGGGAATTTCTTTTCTTTTCTTTCCCTCTTTCTTTGAGACCACAAACTCTCAACCCTCATGCCTCAGCCTCCAGAGTGGTGGGATTACAGGTATGTCCTGCCACACCCGACAATGAGACCACAATGTTAAGTGAAATAAATCAGAGCCACGAGTTTCAATTTCACACGGTTTCTCTTCTATGAGAAACCAAACTCATAAATACGGAGCAAAAGGGGGCCGGGGATTCAGCTCAGTGGTGCTGCTGCCTGCCTTGCAAGCACAAAGTCCTGAGTTCGATTCCAGGTACCAAAAAAAGGAGACTAGGGATGTAGCTCAGTGGGAAGGTCCTGGGTTCACTCTCCAGTACCGGGAAGGAGGGAAGGAAGGAAGGAAGGAAGGAAGGAAGAAGCAAGCTAGCTAGCTGGCCTGGGACCCAGCCTGCTCCAAGTGTGCCCCCACTTTTGTACCCCGAGGTGCTGGCTCAGGGTGGAAGGAGAGATGGCAAGGCCTTTGTCGTCCTTGTCTTTGTCCTTGTGCCACTGCTCATGCAAGCAGAGACAGACAGGCCGAATCTCGAAGAGAGGGTGGTCCGGGCTTGAACCTGGCTTTGTCTTCTTCTCTCCTCTGCCCACTAAGAGGTATCCGCATATGACAAGATGTCTCCTTGGTACCAGGTGCCCTTAGAAGCCACCTGAGCTGGCCCATGGGGGAGGGAAAGAAGGCAACATTGTGTGCTCAGCCTGTGTGGGCCTGGCCTGGTGTCTGGTACCGTGTCAGGTGCCAGGGGTGGGGGCCGCGCATACCCATGCCAGTGCTCGGGTACGAGGTGTGTGCATGTGTGACTGGGCTGGGATCTGGGTGGGGTGCTGAGCGTGTACCCCAATGGGGCTGGGAAGGGCAGGAAGAGGACACCCCACTGCTGGCTGTGGCCCAGGCCATGTGAGAACACAGACAGGAACAGAGCCTGCCCTGGGCCCTGAAGACCCCTCCCCTCCCTGGCCCCCCAGGCGGTGTGTGTGCATCTGTGCACAGCAAGGGTGGCCGGGGTGTGTGGCCGTGTCGTGTAAGTGGGGCACAATCAGGTGAGCATATAGAGCTCCAGCCGGAAGACCCACACACACAGGCAGGGCAAGTGCGGGAGGAGGAAGAGGGTGGGGTGTTCCTGGCTCCCACAGCACCCCCAGGAATCCTGTCTTACTGGGGTGCAATTAGCCCTGACTCGGCCCCTGCCCTGCACCCTCCCTTCCTGTCCATCATCTCCGGCCTGTGGCTGCCCTAAGGAGGAGAGAGTGCCCAGGCTTTGACCCCAGAGAGGGGCAGGAGGAGCCTGGCTCGAGCAACGGGCTGAGGCTCTGCCAGGACAATTGCTGTGTGAGCTCTGGCCTCAGTTTCTTCAGTCACAGGTGAGGCACCACAGGTGAAATGACTTCCAGTGCAGCTGTCCAGGGAGGCGCGCCCTGGATACAAGGGCGGGCCCAGCTGGGGTTCGGCTGAGGCAGTTGAGGGCTCAGAAATGGGGGACAGGAGTCGTGGGCACAGGTCAGGGAAGCCCAGGGCAGCAAGGGAAACAGGAGCCTATTTCCTGGTGGTGGTGGTGGCAGAGGCGAGGCAAAGGCAGGCGGGAGGTTGTGGGAGGGGAAGAAGTGTGGGCGGGGCGGGGCGGGGCGGGGCCGGCGATGGAGGGCGAGCGGGCACCGGGGCCACCGTCACACTGCTGCCCTGCTGCCCGGGAGTCGGGAGCTCAGCCAGGTGAGCAGCTTCCAGGGGCCCGGGTGCACACCTGACCCCACCCGCCTGCTCCCCACCCTGCTGCCTGTCCCCGGGCCCCAGTCTGACCGTCCCCTTCGTCTCCTCTGCCCAGAGCTGGGCCCGGGCCGGACCCCGTCCCACACGCACACCCTGCCAGGCACCTGCACCCTGGAGCCTCTCTAAGGGCCCCTGTGCTGTGCCAAGACCCCGGGCCATCAGGCCGGCCCCTTGAGGAAGGCTACGCTCTGGCAGCAGGTGCTGAGGACACCTGTGGCAGCCTTGCCATGCTATTGGTGACCACCACCTCGGGTAAGGCGGGATGAGCTGGGAGATGAGGGAAGGGCGGGCTCCACCTGCTCCCAGGGTGAGGCTGCCCTCAACGCCCACAGTCGGGGCTTCCTTGGAGGACGCCCTCTGTTGGGAGCTGGAAGTGGGTCAGAGGACCTCTGCCTGGCCCCTCACTAATTTGGCCTCTCCCTTGCCCAGTGGTGCCTGGGCCTCTCTCTCTGCCCAGCAACAGCAGCCAAGAGCAGCCCTCAGACGCACGGGACCCACTGCTAGCCCAGGCTGAGCTGGCCCTGCTGTCTACCGTCTTTGTGGCCGTGGCCGTGGGCAATGGCCTGGTGCTGGGGGCCCTGGGCCGGCGGGGCCGGCACGGACGCTGGGCGCCCATGCACGTCTTCATCGGCCACTTGTGCTTGGCTGACCTGGCGGTAGCTCTGTTTCAAGTGCTGCCCCAGCTGGCCTGGGACGCCACTGACCGCTTCCGAGGGCCTGATGCCCTGTGCCGGGCTGTCAAGTACCTGCAGATGGTGGGCATGTATGCCTCCTCCTACATGATCCTAGCCATGACACTAGACCGTCACCGCGCCATCTGCCGCCCCATGCTGGCCTACCGCCATGGGGGTGGGGCTCACTGGAACCGGCCAGTGCTAGTGGCCTGGGCCTTTTCGCTGCTTCTCAGCCTGCCACAGCTATTCATCTTTGCCCAGCGCGATGTGGGGGACGGCAGCGGGGTCTGCGACTGCTGGGCACGCTTCGCAGAGCCCTGGGGCCTCCGTGCCTATGTTACCTGGATCACCCTGATGGTGTTCGTGGCACCAGCCCTGGGCATTGCTGCCTGCCAAGTTCTCATCTTCCGAGAGATCCATGCCAGCCTGGTGCCCAAGCCGTCCGAGAGGGGGCACCGCAGAGGGCACAGGACGGGCAGCACCAGAGAGGGAGCGCGCGTGTCAGCAGCCATGGCCAAGACCGTGAGGATGACACTGGTGATCGTGATTGTCTACGTGCTGTGCTGGGCGCCCTTTTTCCTCGTGCAGCTGTGGGCGGCGTGGGACCCAGAGGCACCTCGGGAAAGTGTGTGCGGCCGTCCGAGGGGCTGCTTGGGTGCGGCCACCCACAGTGGGTGCTGTGACCCCAGCCGGGCTCTCCCACCCTGCAGGGCCCCCCTTCGTGCTGCTCATGCTGCTGGCCAGCCTCAACAGCTGCACCAACCCCTGGATCTATGCGTCCTTCAGCAGCAGCGTGTCGTCAGAGCTGCGCACCCTGCTGTGCTGTGCCCGGAGCTGCACCCCACACGGCCTGGGGTCCCATGACGAGTCCTGCGCCACCGCCAGCTCCTTCCTGGCCAAGGAGGCATCTTCGTGAGGAGCAGGTGGGCGCCGGACCCCCAGGCTCCCAAGGCTCAGCTGCCTACCTGGGGCTGGCCCCGGGGCCTGTCACTGCCATACAGCGTGGCTTTACTGTCCCCAAGTGCACAAGGAGGATGCAGGGCTCCAAAACTGTGGGAGGTCCCTTAAGTCAGCTCCTTTGTGCAGGGTGTGGGGACGGACAGGGTCTCGAGTGGCAGGTGACAAGGGCAAATGCCCCCAGCTGACATGGAGGTTTGCAGGGGCCAGGCAGGGAGGACCTCTCTGTCTATGCCTCTCCAGTCCCCCTTTCTCTACCCCCCATTAAAGTCGCAGCTCATTTTCTACACCACAAGGTGTGTCGTGGGAGCAGGGTACCTCACAGTGCAGGCCACCAAGGCTTCCAAGGTGCAGGTCCCCAAGTGGCACAGTTCCTGATGAACAGCTCGTGGCAGGGGGCCCTAGGGAAGCCCTTCCGGCCACCACCTGGCCTCCAGCAGCACCCGACACAGATAGCAGCCGCTCAGGGAATGGTGCACAGGGCTTTATGACTCACGCACTGGCCAGCCCCAGGCAGAGCCGGGGTGGGGATAAGCAGGGGCCCTGGGGAGAGGGGGCAGCCCCCGGATCCCCTCCCTCAGTGTGGCTTGGGGGCCAAGTCTGGGCCCTGCAGATGCGAAGCAGAGGGGAAAGCTGGGCCCAAGGGCCCACGGGCAAAGGTTTTGTTCCTGCCGGGCACACCACCACCACCACCACCACCGGCTGGGGGCTTTGGGCTGTGCGGCCCAGGGCTAGTGGTCGTCGCCTGGCGCATGGTGGCCTTTCCCAAGAGCTCCTTGAACACCGAGTCCATGTTCTGTGTTACAGCCTGGTGGGAGGACAGGCACAGAGGTGTTGGATCATGGCGCTGCCCCTAAAGACCCTGTGGCCAGGGCCTCTGTCTCCAGCCTCCCCACTATGCAATGCTGTCCCTCCTGTCAAGGTGCCTCTTCTGAGGACAGCAGGTCCTGGCTGTGGCCTTGAAGTGGGGTCTGGTTGGCTGGGCCCTGGGCCTGCCCATCCCCACCCTCTCCTGGCACAGACTGCAGACTCCATCCATGGTCTCTAGGGCCACCAGGTCAACGCACTCCTCTGGGGCTTCCAACTCTGTGCATCCATCCTGCCTGTCCCATGCTCTCTAGGCCAGGGCACTGGGCCACACTGGGGATACCAGCATGCTCTTGCATGCTCCTTCTCAGACTACCCGACTGTCCCCAAGGCTTCCCTCCTTACAAGGGCAGAGGGGATCCGCAGGCCATGCCGTTCACCACTCCCCCAGCCAGCCTCCCCTCCCACCCCTCTGCCATCTGTCTCTCTCATCCTCCTTGGTGTGTCAAGCACCTGACATCTCACCGCCTGTTATTTAGCCTGGCTTTCACCGCCCTGTGCCAGCCTAGAGGCTGGGCTCATCCCTGCTCTGTGCCCCTGTCTTTCTGGGTATGGGGACCCTGGACTGCAGCCACAGAGAGCAGCCTACAGCCTTCCCAGAGGAGGGGACACAGGGACCATGCCTCACCTTATCTAACTCCACATGTCGCTCCAGGGAGGTTGTCACCAAGCAGGGTCGTCTGTGGCCAGAGGGGCTCATGGTCTCAGGTGGGGTGCCTGGCTCGAGCCTGCAGGGCAGTTACAGTGATTCTGATTGAGACCCTAGGAAGTTCCCAAGCTGTGGCTGCAGCGGCTCCTCCCACCCCAGAGCTGACTGAGGAAAGAAGGTGGCCCCAGGGGTTCCCAAGCTCCTCTGAGCCTGTGGCTCTCGAGGCCAGTCAGTTCTGGTTCAATCCCCCCTCTGTGTCCCTCATCTGACTGCCCTGCCCGCTGCCTGAGGAATGAGAGGGCTGTCTCATCTTTGGTCACCTCTGGGCCATGTGCAAGGCCAGGAAGCTCCCTGGCTAGCTGGCAGGGAGGGGAGAAACCAATGGCCTTCGAAGGAGAGAGAAGCACCCTGGGGCTGAGCACCTCGGGGTGACCTCGTGCGGCCCCCAAGCCTGGATGGCCTCGCTCACCCCTCGGGCAGTGTGATGTACTTGTGTGGGATGAGCCCGCGGATGCCACAGTGCTCCCCACGCCACCAGTCACTCGAGGCGCGTGTGTGCAGCCTCAGCACATCCCCGCGCTGGAAGCTCAGCTCCTGCACCGTGCGGCCCGTGTACCCAAAGCAGGCCACTGCCTCCAGGTCTGTGGAGGAGAGAGGGTGCACGCGGGGGGCATGGGCACCGGGAGTGGGGCAGGGCAGGCCCTGCGCCCCCTCACCATCCTCCTGAGCCGACGTGGTGCCTTCCAGCTCCGGCTCAGCATCCCCCGTGAGGCTGTCCAAGTGCGTGTCCCTGAGGCGAGGGCAGGGACGGGGTGAAGAGAGCCTTCTCCTCACCCAGACCCCAGCCCCCTGGAGCTGAAGCCCAGCAAAGCATACCCCAGGCAGCCAGCAGTGGGTGGCGCCATGCACTTCTCGTAGACCGGGCCAGGCAGCGCGTCCAGGGCCGGAAAGACCTGCTCAGGCTGCAGGATGAGCGTCTGCACCAGCTGGTTGACATGGCCCTGTAGGGCCACTGGGTTCTGCCCACTGGGCACAGGCAGCAGAGTGGGCCCAAAGCACACGGCCAGGTTGTAGGGGTCCATCATGTTCTCGTCGCTGTACTGAGCCAGGCTGGGGGACACATCGGGGGGCAGGTGGGCGGGCATTCCCTTGAGTGCCCTCCGCCTCCAGCCCCGGCCCCGACCCCACAGCACTCACTGGTTGAGGAAGGTGAAGAGGTAGCGCAGCACCACCAGCACTGAGTCTGGCAGCCGCGACAGCAGGCGGCCCACGGGCTGCACGCGCTCGGCCACAGCCTCGGTCTCTGCGGCCAGGGTCCGAGGGTGGGGGGTGAGGACGGCCCACACCACCAGCACCCAGCCCACCAGCAGCTCAGCGCCTCCTCACCTGCAGACGCCAGCAGCTCCACAACCAAGTCCTCAGGGAAAAGCGGGGGCTCGAGGCTGCGGAAGTAGAGCTTGAGCACGCCAGCCACTGAGTCCAGGTCATGGGGTGTGCAGCCCTCCACCAAAGGGTCCTCCCCTGTGGGCACGGGACGAGTGGTGAGGGCCAGCCATGCCCACCAGCCCTGGCTGCCCACCACCCACCCGCCCATCCCCACCTCTCTCGAAGGCATCTCGGATCTCTGTGATCCTGGGCTGGGCACCGGACACCCGGAAGATGCCCTCATGCTGGAGGCCTGCGGAGGATACGGGGCTGGGCGGCAGGGTCCCCTCCCTCAAGATGGGGTACCAGGGCAGGAGTGGCTTACCATTGAGGTTGATGAAGCGGACGCAGCTCTCTACCACCAAAGGCACGGGTTGGCCTGAGCTCTAGAGACAGGACAGGCAGGGCGCCACTTCATAGGGATGCACACGGCTCCACTTTGCCCTGACTCGAGCATCATGGCTGAGTTTGTGACAGTCGCTCCTAAGGGTCTGCTATTTCCAGTTTTTTGTTTGTTTGTTTTTTTGTATGGGGGACTGAACTCAGGACCTTGCGCTTGCAAGGCAGGCAGCAGCACCACTGAGCTAAATCCCTGGCCCTGTTTCCCGTTTTTTGTTTCTTTGCTTGGTTGGTATTTTAAGGCAGGGTCTCACTATGTAGTCCAGGTTGGCCTTGAACTCCCTATGGAGCCCAGGCTGGCCTGGAACTTACCACGATCCTCCTGCCTCAGCCTCCCGAGTGCTGGGACTACAGGTGTGTGCCACCATGCGTGGCATTAAGTGTCTGGTATTTCTGATGCTATTTTAGGTAGTGCCTTCCACTTTATTTGCAAATTGTTTGTTGCTGGAATGTAAAAATGCAATCAAAATTCATAGGCTGACCTTGAATCAAGTAACACTGCAAACTCAAATTCGTTCATTTAGAGTCTGATTCTTTTGAATGCTCTATGTACATAATCACATCATTGCAAATGACAAGGTTATTTTTTCTTTTTGGATTCCCCCCTCCCTTACTGTTGTGGAGCTGGGGATGGAACCTAGGGCCTTGGCACTGAGTAACATCCCTACCCTTTCTGAATTTGGAGACAGGGTCTCACTAGGTGGCTAAGGTGCCCAACGGAACTGTGCTTGAACTTTCCATCTTCCTGCCTCGAGTGCTGGACTGACAGGGATGCACCGCCCCACTCGGCTTTTGGTTCTCTCTGGCTTCCTACGGCCACACACACACAAGCCGGAAGTGGGACCCGGGGGCATCTCATGTCGATCCCAGTGGGGGGTAGGACTCAGTGCAGAGGCCCGGAAGAGTGGGCGGTGGAGGCACAGTTGATCTCCAGCGGGGACGGAGGACATGGGGTCAGGCAGCTGCTCGGCCAGAGCTGAGAAAGCACGGAAGGGACAGGGCTGGCCTGCGACCCCGTGGAGTGTGGGCCACGCAAGTACCTGGATGAACTTCTCCATATCCCCTCCAAAGAGTCTCTGATTATAATGCGAGCTGGGGCGTGGGTGGCGGCTCTTCTGGAGTTTTCTCTGTGAGTACTGGGTCCTGTGGGGAAAGGGACCCGGCTGGAGGAAGTGGGCATGGAGGATGGCATATCCCCCCACACCTGCCAGGCCAGGCCCTGCCCCTCCCAGGTTATTTGAGACAAGACAGGGTCTCACTGTGAAGCCAAGGCTGGCCTCGAACTCAGGCCCTCCCGGGTTTTTCTGTGCTCCACAGAGGCCCCAGGGCACCGGGTAGAGAGCTGAGCCCCAGGAAAATAGACAGGGCACTCACCACGACATCTCCTGCTGCTCCCTGTTGCCTGGGGAGGAGAAAGTGTTGGTGGCCTGTCTTGTGGCTTGTGGGCAGAGGCCTTCATGGGCCCAGTGAGGGGCTGGGGCCAGGCTGTTGAGGGGCACAAGGCCTGTCCGGGCAGGGAGGGCAGCGGTGGGGCTGGGGCTGGCGCACCTCGCCCTATGGCCTCCTGCAGCTTCTCGTGCTTGGCCTGCAGCTTTGCGAGGATGCTGCGTCCGCTCAGGTACTCCTGCAGCTTCTGGGGAACCCGAGAAGAGCCCAAGTTTCAGACGTAGCCCGTGCCACCCCGAGCCCTCCCACCACCCATGGTGCCCACCGTGATATAGAAGGTCTCTGTCTCCTGCTGCTGGCCCCGCTTCCGGCCTGCCTGCCGCCCGCCTGGGTCTGAGCCTGTGGACTTGAGGGACTCTGTGGACGGGCTGGCCTGGAAGGAGTCGGGCACATCCCCATCGTCCGATGCCACCAACTCCAGCAGGGCCTGCAGCGTCGCCCTCAGCGTCTTGTTCACCTGGGGGGCACAGGGAGGTGGTGGCAAGGCTCTGGGTCCTGGTCCCCAGCTGGCCCAGCCCTCTCCACACCTCTTCTGTCTCGATGGTCTGCCGGTCTAGGCGGCTCCGGATGTTCTGGGCCCTGGGCACAATCTCGTCCTGCAGCTCCAGCTCAACCTGGATCTCGGCCACCTGCAGGGGCAGTGCCAGGGCTGATGGGAACACAGCCAAGATGTGCCCTCCAGGGACCAGAGCACACTGCTCGAGTATACACTCCAGAGAGGGAAACAATCCATCCAATGGGACATCACTCAGCCCCAAAAGGGGAAAGATCCAGGCACAGTGGTAGGTGCCGGGGACGGCTCCTATCTGGGTGACAGTTACGATATTCGTGAATATACTAAAACCACTGAATTATACAAGAGACTGAATCCAGGGCCTCGGCACTGAGCTCCATGCCCTGCCTTTTTATTGTGGGACAGAGTCTCACTAAGTCGCTACATTGCCCAGGCTGGGCTCTAACTTGCCATCTTCCTGCCTCAGCCTCCCAGAGTGCTGGGATGACAGGCGTTGCCACTAGGTCCAGTTTGAATTGTATATTTTTATGGATTGATTGTATACGTTACACCTCAATTAGTTGTCTATTTAAAACCAAGAGTGGCCAGGAGAGCTGGGCCCGAGATAGAAGAAGGGCTCTGGGGGACAGAGAGGACAGAGCGAAAGTCGCTTGCCCCGTGGTCACACAGGCTACAGAAGAGAGCACTTCAGGAAGCCAGAGACTCCTCTCCTGTATCTGGATAACTCATGAATGCAGGTCAGGATAATGAGCATGTTCAGTGCCAAAAAAACACATAAACATGTGAACATCCAGAAAACTCTGGCACTGTAGTTGGAATTGTGTGAAAACTGAGTGATAGCCAGGCATGGTGGCACACACCTGCCACACCAGCCCTCAGGAGGCCAACCTGAGCTACATAGTGAGATCCTGTCTCAAAAAAAAAAAAAATCTCAAATTAAAAAAAAAAAAAAAAAAGAATGGGGCTGGGGATTTAGCAGCTCAGTGGTGCCACACCTGCCTCACCAGCACAAGGTCCTGAGTTCAATCGCCAGTACCACAAAAATAAAAAATAAAAATAAGAGTGAGGATGTAGCTTATCTGCAAGAAGGTGGGCACTCCCTGTCTCTGCTCTCCTGAGCCCCAGCCTCTGGGACTGCACAGGGTCTATGTCATGGGAAATAGCAGGAGAGAGTCCTGACTCAGCCTATAGCATGGATGACCCAAGGAGTGAAGGACAAGTCCTGTCTAATGCACTTCTATGAGGGACCCTCCGTGAGGATGCCACATCGCCAGTCATGGACTGGGGACTTCAGTTTTCTGGACAGGAATGGTGGTGATGAATGCATAGTGATGTCACTATGCTTAATGCCACTGAATGTGTACCTGAAAGCAGTTGGCATGGTAAGCTTTAGCTTGTCTTTATTTGAGTGGGTTTTTTTTTTATTTGATTATTTGTTTGGTTTGGTTTGCTTTGGCTGGGTTTTTTTGTTTTTTGGGTTTTTTTTGGTACCTGGGATCGAACTCAGGACCCTGCGCTTGCGAGGCAGGCGGCGGAACCACTGAGCCAAACCCCGGCCCGGCTTGGTTGTGTTTTTTTTGAGACAGGGTCTCACTATATAGTCCAAGCTGGCCTCGAACTCACAGTTGCCAGCACACCTGCTTATCTTATCTTTCCAATAAGGCCTCCCTAAGCCCAAGGAAATACTGACACTGGCTCTCCCCAAGCCCACATGGTCAGCATGGAACTGGCCACTCCTCTCCGGGAAGGACCTACCACCAGGGACAGGCTCCAGGACGCCCGTCACAGCTGACACACTGGGGCTGGGCTGGTCCTCTTAGCTCAGTGGTGGATGAGGCCACTCTGGGAACACGCTCCTAGCACATCTGATGCCACTGAACTACAACCCCGGTCCTTTTTCCAATCTTCTTTTAAGGCAGGGTCTCACTAAATTGCCGAGGCTACCCTTAAGCTTGGGATTCTCCTGCCTCAGCCTCCTGAGTACTGGGATGAAAGGTGTACACACCACGTCCAGCTCAAATTTGTGTTTAACTTCACATGAGGTTGGGAAAGATCATTAAACAAATCTTTGAGAGACCAGAATGGAAAGGCATGCAGATGGGAAATGGGGAGGAGAAGGAAATTAGTCAACCACAAGGACCAATAGCCAACAGCAAGGGTTCTCTAAAGAGAGTAAAATGGAAATGAAGGGCAGGAGGTTATCAAAGCAACCCTACCAGCCCCAAAGCTCAGGTACCTTTGCTGCCCAGCGCCAAGCGGGAGAGAGCATCCCAACATAGACTCCTGTAACATTTACAGTGAGGTGGGGAGGGCGTGTCCCAAAGACTCTGGACACAAGAACAAGGACGCCTAGGGCTGGGGATTTGGCTTAGTGGTGCCCACGCCTGCCTTGAAAATGCAAGGTCCTGAGTTCCACCCCTGGTACCTGCCCAAAAAAACACAAAACCCAAAAAACCAAGGATGCCTAATTAAAAATCACCGCTCAAAGGTCTCTTTCCTCCCAGGTCGGTATTAGTAAAGTCTTTTTGTTTTTCTTCTGGTTTGGGGTTTTTTTTTGAGATATGATCTTGCCATGTAGCCCAGGCTAGCCTCAAACTTGCGGCAACCCCCCTGCCTCAGCCCTCGGAGTGCTGGGAGGACAGGCGAGTGCCATCACAGCAGGCAACCAAGAAAACCTTTAAACATTCGGTGCAGGGACAGCCCCTCCCAGCCAGTGTGGACAGCTAACAGGGCTGCAGTGAAAGTGGGATCAATGGGGGGGGGGTGCGTGTGCCCTGAGGCTATATATGGGCTGGGGACTCAGCAATAAGGGCCCCGCTGCACCACATCCACGCCGCATCTGCATCCGGGACTTTCCATCCCTTTGCAAAGGCAGCTCAGGCACTCATGTGCCGGACCAACTTTGGAATGAAATGAAAGGGGACCAGAAACCCTTTGCCACTGGCTGAGGGCGGCACAACAGTGGGGTGTGACCCTCACCTCATCGCCCTCATGGGGCTGGTAGTCAAAGCGCAGCGGGGGACAGAAGGCTACAGCGTGCACCTCAAGCACCTTGGCCTTGTCCCCTGGAGGGTCCAGGGCCTCCAGCGCCTCTTCCAAGCTGCCCAAGCCCTGCATGTGGGAGGCCTGGCTGCGGCTCTCAGCGGCAGCAAAGCTCCGCAGCGCCTGCCCCAGGGCCAGGTGGAAGCCGGTGTCGCAACACTGGGGACAAGAAGTGCAGAAGCTCAGTGGGTGTGGGGTGTGAGCCCCCAGCCCAGCTGGGACCCGCCACCGACTTACATCCATGAGGTCCAGCACATCGTGCAGGTAGTAGTTGCTGACCGCCGCGTTGACACTGGCCAGGCTGAGCAGGTACTCATTGCGCGCCTTGGTGCACTTGAGTCTGAGCTCCAGGAACTTGGCCTGGCGCTGCTCAGGACATCCAGGCCGCCGGGGTCACCACTCGCCAGTGCCCCATCTGCAGCCCTACAGGTGCCCCACCCCATGGAGATTCCCACAGGCCCCTCCAACTCCATGTGGACCCCAAGTTCTGCTGCTGCCTTCCCTCGCCTGCTGGCCCCAGTCACCCGGACTGGACTGCCCAGTTCTTCACCTGCCACCCAATGTCCTTCCCTTTGCGGACAGAGTGGAGGAGGCGACACAGAACTAGCTATTTGAGGGCCGGGGATTTAGCTCAGTGGATTCGCCGCCTGCTGCGCAAGCGCAAGGATCCGAGTTCGATCCCCCGTACCAAAAAAATAAAAAGAACTGGCTATTTGACGAAACACACACATGCACCCCTCGATGGAGGCAGGAACCAGGCTGGGGGACCCCACAGCCTGGGTAGAACCTGAACTGCTGCCTCCAGCCTGGGTTGCTTCCCGTCTCCATTCTTTGTTGTTTTGTTTTTTTTGAGTCAGAGTCTCACTATGCAGTCCAGGCTGGCCTTGAACTCATAGCAATTCTCCTGCCTCAGCTTCCCTAGGGCTGGGATGACAGGCGTGTGCTCCCACACCCGGCACCCCTGCTTCATCCTCTCTTCAGGGCCACCCCGACTGCCCTTCCTCCTTACAAGTCCCCCACCCTTTCCTCCTGGATTCTCTCGTCCCTCGGGAACCCCTCGGTGCCTCGGCAGGGCTTCAGGGGTAGCACCAGCTTGGAGCACGGGGGAGCTGCATGAGGCTATCCTGGGCCCCACAACTCTCCCCCTTCCGTCCCTTAGCCCCTGGAGCCCCCTGTATGTAACCCCTGTAACCCAGTGGGGACACGCAGCAGGCCCACCTTCTCCACCAGCCGCCCCCCCTTCTTGAGCGAGCTCTTGCGCTGAGGCCCGGCCTCGGTGGTGCTGCCCGGGCTGGTGACCGAGACAGCTGTGGTGGGAGCACTCCGGCCTGCCCTCTTCTCCTCCTGCCGCTCTGCTTCCCGGAGCTTGGCCTCTGTGCTGGCACTCTCGGAGCGGTATGCCTGGTACGTCCTCCTGGCCTGTGGTGGACCAGGCCAGGTGCCCACTGACGGCCACTGCCACCAAGCCCGCCCCCTCCCAGGCTGCCTGAGACTTGGAGCTGAGCATGAAGTCCAGCCTCCCCCTCAGCAGGGCAAAGAAGGGCAGAGCCCGGCCCACAGTCCCCCCAATGTGACGTGTCCCTCTGGTTGCCTCCGCCAGCCCCACTCACCATCTGCAGCTCCGAGACCACTTCCAGGAGGTCTTCCTGCAACTGCTGCCCCAGGTCCTTGCTCTAGAGTGGGAGGGGTGCGAGGCCAGCTCAGCAGCTGTCCCTGGCCTTCAGAACCTGCTCCACCGGGGCCAGCACACACACCTTCTTGACGATGCGCCCCACGTCCTCGGCGATGTGGCTCAGCCGCTGTGCCAGGGGCCCTCCCAGCAGCTCACTGAGGGCCGCGCTGTCCCGGCTCTGTTGCCGCGTGTGCTGCAGCAACACGGCCCAGCAGTGCAGGGGCGACAGGAGGGATGGCTCCTTCCTGGGGCCACGGGGCACTCAGACCAGGCCTCGCCCCCCTCCCCATCCACCCACCTGCCCCTGACACCCACCGGAAGCTCTGCAGCTCTCGAGCCCCGCCGCCCAGGCGGCCCCCACGACTGGCAAGGCGCTCCGCCAGCTTGTCCAAGCCTCGCGAGTACTCGAGCTCCACCTCAGCGCGGCGCCTCGCAAATTCAGCCAGCTCCTGCAGCAGCTCCCGGCGCAGCTCGCCCTGCAGCTCCAGGCAGCGCAGCTGCTCGCCTAGCTGCCAGCGAATCTCTGCAGGGAAGCAGAGGGACTGGAGGAGGCACCCAGCCCTGGACTGCACTGCAGCCAACAAGGAAGAAGCAGGCGCCTTGGAGGCTCCCAGGGCCGAGGGCTCTGTGCTGAGGGGCAGAGAGGCAGGCAGAGCCAGAGACCAGAAGGGAGAGGGCAAGGTGTCCCAGTGGGACACGAGGGCAGTGCAAAGGCCCAGGGGCAATGAGAAGCCGAGACTGGTTATTTCTGTTCATTTGGGTTTCTTGGGGGGGCGGGTATTTTTGCTTTTATTTTTTTGAGACAGGGTCTCACTATGTAGTCCAGGCTGGCCTTGAACTCACTATTATAGCCTAGGCTGGGCTTGAACTTGAGGCGATTCCCCTGCCTCAGCCTCCCAAGTACTGGGAGAACAGGCGTGGGCCACCACACCCGACTTGAAGCTGTTCAGGAAGGGTGGAATACAGGGCCATGTCGGCCCCATCTTGCCCCACCAGCAGGCACAAGGGGTGCCGTGGGGTCCAGATGGCCACCTGCAGTGAATACACAGCCTCAGGTCCCAGTGGGGTGTGGTGGCACAGGCCTGTCATCCCAGCATGGTGGGAGGCTGAGGCAGGAGGATGGAAAGTTTGAGCCCAGCCTGGACAATTTAGGGAGACCCCATCTCAAAATAAAAATGAGAAAAGGGCTGGGGATGGAGGTCAGCCTGAAGGCCTTGGCTTCATCCCAGTAGGGTAGAAAAGAGAGGAAGAAAGCAAAGACCAGACAGCCTCACAGTGGGGGCTGGGCGTGGCCTGGCTGAGGCAGAGGGGCTGGCCCCGGTGGGTCTTCCTCCCAGTCCCCCACCTTCTGGGCTTCCCCTCCCCCACAGCAGGCCATGCCCAGTTGCCACCTTGTCCCGCTGGCCCAGAGCAGAAGCCGCCAGAGCGCAAGGCTTAGGCAACCTGCTGCACCCTCCCTAGGCACTGCCTGGCTTCCGGTGTGCAGGCTGCTGTCGTCTCTGTCCCCAACCCTGGGTGGGACATTCTAGATGCTGCCTGCAGCCGGGGGACAGCCACCATCCTGTGCAGGGAGAAGATGGCAGGGGCTGGGGAGTGGGGCACACAGCCTCGGCGGGTTCCACCTTCCTTTGCATGCGTGCCTCCCCCCGACTCTCCTTGCTCAGCCAGGCTTGAGTGGCACTGACCTCTCTGTCCCTGACTCCAGGTGGCCCAGGCCTGACCTCTGCTTCTTGCCCACTAGACCCTCTGGGGACAGCCCCTCCCCCCCGGGTGTTCTCCTCCCACGGAGCTGAACAAACAGGAGCCCGGAAGCCAAGGCAGGGCCAGCCCAGGAGCCCAAGTGCCCAGTAAGACAGCAGGAGGTGCCCTGGCCAAACTGTCACCTCCTGTGGTCCTTGATTCCAACCAGGAGAATCCTCACAGAATCAGGGAAACATCTTTCAAATAAAAGGAAATTTCATTTCATTCATCAAAGGCCTTAGACCACCCACCTGGCCTCCCCTGCCCTGGGGACCTGTTGCCACTGAACCATGGCTAATGGAGCAGCGACCACCGCCTTGTTTACTCCAGCCCTTCCTTTATGTCGCCGTCCTGCCCCCACCCATGTGGACATGCGCACTGGCCGCTGGGCACAGAGGAGCCGTAATTGCAAGCCAATTGCATTTGTGATCCCCTGAGAGCAGTAAAGGGGAAAGCTGCCTGCAGCTTCCAGACAGCTCAGAGCCCCGTCCTGACCTGCCCCCAGCTCAGCAGGCACCTTACAGCTGCACCACACCTGGGAGCAGGAACCGAACTGGTCTGCACACCTCTCTCTTCTTCTCTCTCTGGCCTAGCACTGAGCTACACCCCAGCCCGTTTTTTGTTGTTGCTTTTTGTTCTGTTTTTTGAGACAAGGTCTCACTGTGTAGTTCAGGCTGAACTTGAACTCACTATGTATCTCAGGCTGGTGTCGAACTCACAGCAATCCTCCTGCCTCAGCCTCCTGAGTGCTGGGATTACAGGCATCTGCTACCATGCCTGGTCAGCTCTCTTAATCTATTTATTTTTATTTTGAGACAGGACCTCATTAAATCGCAAAGTTACCCAGGCTGGGCTGCAACTTGGGATTCTCCTGCCTCAGCCTCCCAGAGTACTGAGATCACAGGTGTGCGCCATCACGCCCAGCTGTGGTTCTCTCTCTCTCTCTCTGGTACCAGAAATCGAACTCAGGACCTAACTCTTGCCAGGCAGGCGTGGCGTCAATGAGCTACATCCCAGCCCTGTGGTTCTCAGCAGTGTATTCCCAAGACCTGGGACAGAACAGATGTATACAAAACATCCGGCAAAACAAGGGAGAGGAGTCTGGAATCCCCATCATCTTTTTGAATTGTAAAGCTGGGCCTCCCATCACACTTCCTGTGAGCGCGGTGGGGCTCTCTGTTGCAGAAGGAAGATGGCCTCCCCAGCGCCACTCTGCTGACGTGGAGAACCGAGCGTTGCAAGACCACGGCCCTGTCTCGCATGTTCGGAAGGCCCCAAACATGGGCGAACAGAGTGCCCAAGGGCCGGAACAGCCTTGTTCCAACTCCCGTCCACTCAGCCGGCTTTGCTGACTGCAGGGCTCTCGGCGGCGTTTGAGGAAGTCTGGTGGGAGCCCTCCCGCTCGGTGCCTGGGCCTGCAGGGCTGCTGCGCCCTCCGTGAGCTGCCAAGAGGGCAGTGGGCGCGCTGGGTTGGAAACCGCTGGCCCCTCACAGTTACAGCGGCACCTGTGGGCCTGGGGGCCACGCGCCCCGAGGGCCACTTTCTTCTAGCTCCTGGGAGACCCGCAGTCACCTCTCTTAGCCGTTGAGAGTGACTTCGGGGCTGGACACCTGATGGCTGGCCCTCGGCCACCCTACCCGAAATTTGCGAGTTCATTTGTATGGGATTTGTGTGCACAGGGCCTTAGTAGAATCTGCAAGCCCGCCAGATTTACACCACCAGCACCAGGCGCCAGGGGCCACGGCTCCAGGGACAGTCTGACCAAGCAGCTCACTGCCACCTCCTAGGTCCCGCAGAGACCAAAGAGGGGGCAGGGAAGGGAGAAGGAAGGGGGCTGGCGGGGCCAGCTCCTCACCCCGGTGTCCCCCGCGACCTGCCAGGCGCCTGCTCACCTTTGACCTGTGCCTCGTACTCGGCCTGCAGCCCCCGCTCCCGCCGCAGCTTCCCGTGCGCTGCCATAGCGGCCCAATGGCCGCCCCGTCGAGACCGCTGCGCCCCACGCAGGCGGGCACCGCGACCTGGGGCCCCTCGGCCAGCTCCCCGCGCTGGCCCCGCCCCACCCCGCCCACGGCGCCGGAGGGGGCGGGGCGGGGCGGGGCCCGGATGGCCGTCCACTGCCCCCTTCCACTGTGCCTGCACCTGGGCCACCATGTGCCCAAAGCCCGCTGCCAAGCAGCCAGGCCAGGAGCGAGAGTTCCAGGGTGCCCAGCAAGCTACCACCATGCTGCCGTCCTCCAATAGCCAGACTGCACCCCACCATAGCCACCAGCTTTCAACAGCAGTGGCCAGCCAGGCGTGGCGGCACACGCCTGTCACCACAGCACTCGGGAGGCTGAGGCAGGAGGAGCACCGCGGGTTTGAGGGCAGGCCGGGCTCCATAGTGAGTTCAAGGCCAGCCTGACCTACATAGTGAGACCCTGTCTCAAAAAGAAATAAAGAAAATGGTGACAGCGACATGGTAGCTGCCCTAGGCCCAGGCTCCCCAGGACATCACAGGGCCCCTTCCTGGCTCACAGCCTGGAAAGCCTGCAGTTGGGCCTTCGTCCCTCCAGGCCTGGGGGTGGCCCGGTTCCCCTTCTGCTCAGCGGGGGGAAGAGGGAGTCCAACAGCCTGTGTTCCTCATGGGTGGTTACCACTTCCTGCCACAGAAAGCCCTGCTCCTGCCGCCTCCCCGCAGCCTGCACCTGCCCTGGCCTGGGCAGTCTTGGGGCTCCCTTCCCCAGGGGCTCCCTTCCCCAGGGGCTCCACCCACTCTAGGCCACTGGGCAACAGCTTCTCCAGGTGGCCGCCACAAGCCAGAGTAGACAGCTGTTAGGCTTGGTGGCATACGGGACAGGGGCAAGGTGGCCAGGTACTGCATGCATCCAGGGAGGCAGGAGTGCCAGCACATGTGGGCATGCGTGTACACATGTGGGCACCTGTGACCTCCCCCTGCAGGTCTGAAGGGAGGGGGCTTTTGAGGTACTTTAGCCCTAGGAGAAAACACACTCCCTCAGCTGTGTGTCACCCCTGCTACCAATCCCTAAAGCCCTTAAGAAGCTGCCATGTGCCCACAGGTTCTGTCTGTTGAGGGGAGCGGACAGTGTCTCATGTAGTCCAGGCCAGACTTCAACTTCCTATCTAGGCCAAGCCAGCCTCAAACTTGGGATCCTCCTGCCTCAGCCTCCCAAGTGCTGGATTAGAAGTATGCACCACCACTTCACCTGGCCTTAAATGTACACAGAATTTTGTTTGCAGTGGTGGAGATGAAACCCAGGGGCTGAACAATGCTAGGCAAGCACTCTGCCACTGAGGTGCACCCCCAGTCGCCCACCGAGTCCTGGAGGAAGGTCTGGGAGCTCCCCAGACCTCAGCCCTCAGGCACTGATCTGTGAAGCGCCAATGCTGGGGTCCCCCAGCAGGCAGGGGCCCTGCACCAGCCTTCGTCACACCCCATTGTGCCCATGTCAGGAGAGACGTACAAGTCCCACCCTTGGCCTGACAATAGGAACGGGAACGGGCACCCGGCTCCACATCCGGCTACCTCCCTACCCCCTCTCTGAGCCCTGATTGGTCCCCAAACATCCTCTTCCGCAGAGCCAGCCTCAGGGCCCCAGCACACAGGAAATGGCTGCCAATTGGCCCCGGCCTCCACTTTCAAATGTGCTCCTCATTCAGCCCCTTCTGTGAAATCGAGTGAAAACCTAAAAACAAGGCCTCTTGTGGGAAGAGCCCTGGTTTTTAGGACACTTGCTTGGCATCTGGACTCCTGAATGGAATGGAACCTCACCACTTTTCTACCCTTTATCCCCACCAGTCCCCTTCCAAGATTCTGGATGGCAGTTCTCTTTTATAAGGTGAGGACCAGATGTGCAGGACCTTTCTAAACCTGTTGAGGCCGGGCGTGGTGGCATGCACCTGTCACCCCAGCACTCGCGAGGCTGAAGCAGGAAGATAACTGCGAGCTCAAAGCCAGACTGTCTACATAGCGAGACCCTGTCTCAAAAAAACAAAAATAAACTCGGTGAGGCAGGAGGGGAGGAGAAGGGGCCATAGAATGAACACGTGTAATGTACATGTACCAACATTCCTAAATGAATGTAATCATATACTGCAAACGTGCTAATAAAATTTTGGGAAAAAACTGCATACAGGTATTTTTTAAAAACTATCTGCCAAAAATCAGAAAAATGTTAAAATAAAACCCCGCTGAAGAGTGTACACTAGGCCCTGGGGGCGATCACAGGGCTGGCGGGGTCGCGTTAGGGCCTGAGGGTGACGAGAGCGAGGCGACAGTGCAGCTGATCACCGCCGTCCCCGGGGGGGGGGGGAGAAAACGGGTGGCGCGCTGCTCCCCTCCAGGTTCCCCAGGTCACTCTTCCAGGGAGCCTCTGGGTCCGGGCTGCGCCTCCCGAATGTGCACGGATTCCAGCCACTTGCAGAGAAGCAGAGGGCTCCCAGCCTCGCCCCGGGGAACAGCAGCGGCCTCAGGAGGCGGGGGCTGCAGACCGGGAAAGTGCTGAGCCCCAGGGCCAGGAGGGCCGGCGGTTTCCCCTTCCTTTTCTCCCCCATCTGCAGCTCCTACGTCCAACCAGGAAACCTAACCGCCTCGGGGGAGGAGGAGGCGGCCAAGAGCCGAGCGGCTGCAGGGACGCAGCGCGCAGAGCACAGCGAAGGCGGGCGGGAGCGGATGGCAGGCCCCTCCCGGCCGCCGTGAGCTCCACCTACCAGCGACGGGGCGCGGCCGACACAGCGCGCAGGCCCGGACCGCCCAGCCGAGCAGAGTTTGGACCCGGCGCCGCCGGACCAATCAGAGCCTGGGAACCAAGCCCGCCTCGGCTTGTGAACCGGAAGGGACTGGCGCCTGGCGCAGTGGGCGGGACGAGTCGCTGCCTGGACCCATAGAAAGGGAATCCCACGACTGTAGCCAATCAGAACGCAAGCCTCGCCGGGGATTTAGCTCAGTGGTTCCAGCGCCTGCCTCGCAAGCGTAAGGTCCCGAGTTCGATCCCCCGTACCAAAAAAGAAAACAAAAAACCAAAACAAAACCACACACAGAACGCAGCCTCGCCCGAACCAACCAGCCGGAGAGCGGAAGCTCGCGCAGTCACATCTTCCCTGCCCCGCCCCCTCCGTGTTGCGGGCCTGGCCTCTCCCGGTGCCCGCGGGTCACGTACCAAGCGCTGGCCAGAGATATCCGGGCTCGGCCCTGGGACGAGGGGAGCTATGGGCCGCAGGCGGCAGCAGAAGCCTGGAGTCCGGCGACAGCTCAGGGACAGGGATCTATGGCGCCGCCGCCAGAGGGGAGGGCAAGGAAGAAGGGCGCAGGGCGACTGCTAAGATCAGGGTGAGGTCGCGAAAAGCTGGACTTAATCTTTGTTCTTCCAGAGAGATGACAGGCAGTGACCGCGGTGGACACGACTATGCCTTTGTGAGACCCCATAGGGACGGTGTGACATGCTTGGGCAGTGTGGTGACTCAATGGGACAGATTTTAAAGTTCAAAACAAATTTAAAAGGGCCACAGATGGAGCCCAGTCCTCAGTACTGGTGCAAGGAAGTTAATGCAGACCACTAGCTACATTTAACACGGACAGAACTGGGCGTCAGCAGTGACAGAGACACCAGCTACTAGACCGTGTAAAAAAGGGCCCTGCGGTGGCGCACACCTGTCACCCCAGCCCTCAGGAGGCTGAGGCAGGAGGATCACCCGAGTTCGAGGTCAGCCTGGGCTACACAGTGAGACCCTGTTGCAAACAGCCGACTAATTCTTTTTGTTTGTTTTGAGTCAGGGTTCGACCCCAGGCTGGCCTCGAATTTGCAACAATCCTCCTGCCTCAGCCTCCTGAGTGCTGGGATGACAGGCGTGCACCACCACACCCGGCTCTGCAAACAACCAACTAATAATAATAGGAGGAACAGTGAGAGAGGAGGAAGGAGTCATTACTATCTGATTAATTTCTCTGTCAACCTAACTGTACTGAAGTCCGTGAGTTATTTTCAAGCAAGTGGCCAGGGCAGCGAGTAACCTACGAGGCTGGGGCCTAAACACAAGGTTGGGTGAGGGCTGGAGCTGGGGGTAAGAGCGGGAGACCCCATGCACGCAGCGCATACACGTCCCCGAGGCCTCGCGCGCAGCTTTATTGGGACATCTCGAGGGCTGAGGCAGATGCACAGGCCCTAGGAAGCTGAATCGGAGGCCTCTGAGCTGTCCTTGACATCCGTGCTTTCTGTGGTCTCGCTGACCTCACTGAGGTCCTTGCTGTCCCCACCGCTGTCTTCGGCGGCCAAGGCCTTCTCCTCCCTGCAGGCCTCTCCTGGGCCCGGCAGTGGGACACCTTTGCCCTCCGCCTTGTTCTCGATGGCACCCAGCACCACGTGCCTGCTCTTGTCCTTCAGCTCCAGGTGCCGCCTCAGCTGACGTGGGAACAAGGGACAGGGCCTAAGTCTCCAGGTCACAGCAAGGGGGCCGGCCAGGCATGGGGAAGACTGCGGCACCCCAGCCCTGCCTGTCCCTAGACACCCATCTGCCCCTCAGATCCCATCCAGGTGAGGCTTCCTGGCAGTGGGCTCTGGATCCCATGCCCTCTCTGTTCTTTTCTTTTGTTTTTTGAGACAGGGTGTCACTATGCAGTTCAGGCTGGCCTCACACTCGATATGTAGCCCAGGCTGACCTTGAACCCACAGCAATCCTCCTGCCTCAGCCTCCCAAGGGCTGGGATGACAGGCATGTAACCACAATGGCTGGCTTCCAATGTTTTCTCTAAAGGGGGCCAGGGCCACTTCCCCCTGCATTGCTCGGGAAGCCCCAGCCACCAAGGGCAGCCCTACTTGGGGCCCTCTGGGTGGGCTCACCTCATCGGCCATCTGGGTGAGGTCCCGCTTCATGGCATATGCATCTTCCCCATCTGCGTAGTACTTGGGCTCCACCTCACTGATCCTGGGGCAGGAAGAGGAGCCAAGCCTGGGGTGGCTCTGGGGTGGAGCAGCAAGCCCAGCCCCAGGACACCCTTTCCCAGCAGCCCCATCTCCAGCAGAGGCAGTGCCCTGCCCACCAGCCTTCCCTGTGGCCCGTGGGAACTCAAGCCCGAGTCACCTCGCCCTCCCTTCCCCGCCACCTGTCACTGGCAGGTGTGCGCACTGCTGGACTCAGGCCCTATCACGTGAGGACTTCGCATGAAGCACTTCCCACCGGAAGCACTCTGGGATTGTTTGGCAGTACTGAGGTTAAACGCAGGGCCTTGGCACTGAGCTACATCCCCAGCCTTGTTTGGTATGGCTTCTTTAATTTTTGAGACAAGGTCTCACTAAGTGGCTAAACTGCCCAGGGTGGGCTCAAACTTGCAGTCCTCCTGCCTCAGCCTCCACCCGCTAGGATTACAGGCGTGCACCACCATGCCTGGCTTCAGACGAATTCTTTTTTGTTTTATTTTGGTTTGGGATTTTTGTTTTGTTTTGTTTTGTTTTTGAGAAAAGGTCTTGTTATGTAGCCCAGGCTGGCTTCAAACTCAACTCTCATCTATCCTCCTGCCTCAGCCTTCCGAGAGCTGGGAAGACTGGTGTGCACCAAGTGAGGTTCGCCCCCGTCCCTCCCCCTGCCATCTGGAGCCCTGCTTCTCCGGCTCTCTCGGCTGCCCTGAGCCTGCACTGCAGGACTCCGTGCGCCTCAGCGCCCCACGAGCAGACCCCGTGGCCCCACCCCCAAGTCCTGCCCCTACTTACTGAAAGTTGAGGGTGTTGGAGTACAGGTGCAAGGCAGCCCGGTTACTGCAGGGAAGAAGACGCTGCTGAGCTGCACGGCAGCGGCCAGTCCGGCCTCCCTGCCATGCCGTCAGGATCCCCCCCAGCCCCGAACCTCTTCCGGAAGGCGTGCCCAGCCCACCCCAGCCCAGCCTCCACCTCTTCCTGACGTGCAGGGAGACGTATTTGGCATTGAAGTTCTCGATCATGGCTCGAGAAGCCTGGTCCATGAGCTTCTGAGCCAGGCCTAGGCGCCTGTGGGAGCGCTTCACGGCCTGGAGGAAAGAAAGCAGCACAGTGGGCCCAGGCACCCCAGCTCCCCTACTCCCACCTGCCAGCGGCTGGGGTGCCCCACTCACCAGTGAGGTGATGTGTCCATGGGGTACGTCATCCGGGTCCTCTTCCCTGAGCCAGGAAGGAGATGGGTACAAAGGTGAGCAGTGTGGGCACGGCCACCCTCCGGGACCTGTGCTCAGCATTGAGACTGCCCCTGTGCTGCTCCAGAACCAGGCCCTAAACCCCACCCTGCAGCCATCAGACATGTGCAGTGTCAACAAACAGAATACTGCTCCATGACTCAAAACAAATTAGCATAGCCTGTCATCTCAGCACTCAGGAGGCTGAGGCAGGAGGATCACCATGAGTTCCAGCCCAGCCTGAACTACACAGTGAATTTGAGGCCAGACTGGACTACATAGCAAGACCCTGTCTCAAAACACCAAAGAAAACAACAACAATAATGATAAGCTGTGAAGAAAAGTAATAAGCCATCAAGCCACAAAATGACCGGGAGGAACCTTAAACACATGTTGCTAAATAGAAAAGAAGCCAGTCTAAAAGGTGGTGACTTTACCCCCACCCCCCACCCCCAGTACAGCACTGTGGAGAAGCCCAAGCTGTGGGCCTGCACAAGATGCGCGGCTGTCAGCAAGTGGCAGGCAGCACAGCACCGCTGTTCCGTGGGACACTGAAGGTGCAGTGGACACTCAACTGTCCAGACCGAAGAGGGAATCGTGAAACTGGATAACACAGGGACAGTGACAGCCATTGGTGGCGGGACCAGCTCGGGAGCTGTGCCCAAAGGAGGGTGCTTGCAGTTCCCACTGAGAGCCTGGGGTGGCGCCAGGTGACATGGTCCCAGAGAAAACCACAGGGGGATCAGCTCAGGACCTAGGTAACAAAGTCTTGCTGCTGGGTCCCCACTTTCACCAAAGGTGTCATCTGATATAACACATTGATGCTACAGCAATTGGAAGGAAGAGCTTACATGAAAACTCTTTGTGTCCACTGCTCAATTTCTCTGTAAACTTTAAGCTGTCCTAAAAAACAGCTTAGTATTATTTGTTTTTTGAGACACGGTCATGTCCGCCTCCCGAGTGCTGAGGTGACAGGCGTGTGCCACCATGCCCAGACGGTTTCGTTTTTTTGTTTTTTTTTATTTATTTTTGGTACCGAGGATCGAACTTGGGTCCTTGCTCTTGCATAGCAGGCGTTGAAACCACTGAGCTAAATCCCCGGCCGGGTTTAGTATTTTTAAAAACCCACAGCAGCCCTTCCCAGACACGGTAGTCTTGGCCTCACCCCTAGGCCCAGCCCCAGGCTTGTCCCTTCCTCCTCGATGACTCACATTTTAGCCAGGACGTACCCCACAATCTTCCCGTTCTCATCCTCAGCAATGTAGGACAGCTGGTGGAGGAGGAAAAAGGAAGTGAAGAAAGGCCACATTGCCCATTTGGGAACCCACCACCCACGCGTGCTGTGTGCCCCGCTCTTGACAGCCGGAAGCTGACCAAGTGGTGTGAGTTGTATGACAGCCTGTGACCCGGGCGAGGGCCTTGTCCTTGTGAGAGCCCTGCGCCCCGTGCGCGGAAGCCCTCCTGGGCCGAGCGCGCACCTGTGGCCAGGAGAGGCCATGGTAGAAGTAGTACTTCATCTGGTAGTTCTCCGGCAGGCAGAGGAGGTTGCAGTGCTGCATGTTCATCAGGTCCTCGGGCTGAGGGGAGGCAGCGGGGAGCGGACGGTGAGGCTCAGCTCCCAGGCTGCCTGGGCTGGGAGGCCTCTGTCCGCCAGCGGCGCGGCCCGCGACCGCCGGGCGCAGCGGCGCTTCCCGAAGCCCACCCCGAGAGGGTCCTGTCATCACGCGGACGCGACAGATCGGCGGCCCCAGCCCCGCTCCCCAGGCCGCCCTGCGGGTCCCCTGGGAGCATGCGCACGCGGCCACCAGCCGGCGCCCACGCGGCGCGGACAGCCTCCGGGCCCAGGCCCTCACCCTCGCATTGCGGATGTTCATAACGGCGGCGGGGGTCGCGGGTCCCGGGGGGCGTGATCGCGCAGTCAGCTGCGGCTGCGCTCCGAAACGACACCGGGTCGGCCGGGTCGGGGCCTGAGACAGGATGGCAGGGGCTGCGGCGGAAGAGGAGGCGCGCAGTGAACCCGCCACCGGGCGGAAGTACGCGACCACCGGACCCGCCTCCCGGCCACGCGGCCCCTGCGCGGAGTGGCCCAGTGTGCGGGGCGGGGCACGCGCGGGCCAATGAGCCGGGCAGACGCGGGGCGAGGCGATGGCCGGCGAGCGGGGGGGGGGGGCAGCGGGCTGCGGGACGCGGCGCCGAGCGGTGACCGTCCCTCCGCCCCGGTCCCGGCCCCGGCCCCCAGACGCGCGCACACGGGCAGGTGCAGCAGATTCAGCTTTATTCCGCGCCTCGGGGGGTGGGAGCGGCGGGCGGAGCGCGGGGGGCACCGGGGTCCCGGGCAAGGCGGCTCAGCAGGGCGCCCAGTATCTCCTCGCACATGGCCAGGCACCGCGGCACGTGGAAGCAGCCTAGGAGACACAGGCATGTTGGGAGCGCAGGGGTGCCCGGGGCCGCGAGCCCCTGCGCCCCACTCACCTTTGAAAGGGCCCCCCTTGATGGTGAGGGCGACCTTCCCCTCTCGGTTCAGATAGCCAAACCATTCACCATGGTCGGGATCGCGAAACTGGATAAGGAGGAGACGTGTCAGCCAGCGCCTGCGGTCCCCACTGCAGCGCTGTGCCACGGCCGGCCTGGGGAAGGAGCTACGGGGACAGAGGGTCTGCCGGGTCCCGGCTCTGGCTCCTCGAGCGGGCGCCTCGCAAGTTGTGTAGCCTGCGCTTTGTGCTTCAGTCCGTGCCAGGAAACCTGTAACCAGCGACTCGACGCCCCGGAGACTTGGGGCGCATCACACAGAGCCCCGCTCCTGGCTGCCTCCCTGCGGCCTCTCTTGCCCAGGCTCTGTGCCCGGCTGCTCCCAGTACAAAAAATGGCACCTGTCCAGACCTCCGGCGCACTCGGGCCTCAGCCACACCCTTCTCTTTCTTGGCCAATAAAGTTCCCAGAACAAACCAGTCCCACCAAAACTTACTGCCACACCCCTGCTGGGCGTGGAGGCGCACCCCTGACATGCCAGCATTTGGGAGGCTGAGGCAGGAAGATCCCAGTGAGTTTGAGGCCAGCCTGAACTGCATAGTGAGGCCCTGTACCAAAAAATAGCCACCAGGTGTGGTAGTGCACAGCGGTCATCTCAGCACTTGGGAGGCTGAGGCAGGAAGACTGCCACGAGTTCGAGGGCAATCTGGGCTACAAAATCAGTTCAAGGCCAGACTGAAATACATGAATCTCTGTCAAAAAAAAAAAAAAAAGCCCAACAGAAAAATAAAAATGAGTTAAATGGAACTACTTCTCAGAAAGATCATACAACAGACCAGTCACATGAAAGTCCACTGTCAAAACATCCCTTAAAATTGTGGCCCATGACAGTTGGCATATCCTCCAGGAGCGGTGCAGCAGCCCCCTCTATCAATGCTACCTTTTGAGTGACAATGCCTGGGTCCCTGTCTATTTTACCACTCCATATCACCCCATTGTACCAAAGTTTGCTTTCTGCATTGTCCTGCTGCTCCGTGATCATGAGTGAGTGACCTGTGGATTTTTTTTGGTAACTGTTTAATGTCTTCTTGCTCTTGTTTAAGCACATCACATCCCTGTTTCATTTTTCTTTTTTGGTGGTGGTGGGGCAGGGTCTCACTATATAGTTCAGGCTGGCTTTGGATTCACTGTTGTTTTCCAGGCTGGCCTCAAACCCACGGCGATTCTCCTGCCTCAGCCTCAGGAGTGTTGGGATGACAGGTGTGCACCACCACGCCTGGCTTTCCCTGTTTCATTTTATAGTGGCTCCTAGTGGCCTTCCTAAAACCATAGTGTAAAGACAGCCCAGCCCGATACACTGTTTGGAGATTTGGACAGCGATGGCTGGGCCGGCCACAGTGCCCAGGTCTACATGAGCTTCTTTTCCACCTACTTGGGGGTCTGGGAGCCCCTGGCTGGGAAAGGGTTCCCACCTCCCAGCTCCTTGGTGTCTCCAGCACCGGCCCCTCTTGGCTCCTCTTCTCCACTCGAAAGCTTACTTTGCCTCACAGCTCTTAGTATTGTCTATGTTCTTTGTTTTGGTTTTTAGAGACAGGGTCTCACTATGTAGCACAGGCTGGACTTGAACTTGTGGCAGTCCTCCTGCCTCAGCCTCCCGAGTGCTGAGATTACAGGCATGGGCCACCACACCCCACTCTGTTTTTTTTTTTTTTGGTACCGGGGATCAAACTCTGGACCTTGCGCTTGCAAGGCAGGCACCGGAACCACTGAGCTAAATCCCCGGCCCTACCCACTCTGTTTTTGAGACAGGGTCTCACTATGAAATTTGAACTCACTGCATAGCCCTGGGTGGCCTCAAACTCCCAGCGATCCTCCTGCCTCAGCCTTCCCTGCTGGGGTGACAGGCGTGTGCCACCATGACCGGCCCTCTTTTGGTTTTTTGTTTTATGGTACCGGGGATCAAACTCGGGAGGAACCACTGACCTACATCCCCCGCTCTGGTTTTGTTCACTGGAAATTCACAGGGATCCTCCTGCCTTACTGTCCAAACACTAGTAGTGTTCCTGATTAGTATCATCTGTATTCTTATGACACCTAAACTCATGTGGCCAGCCCAGATCTCTCCCTTGTCAGTGTGTGTGTGCACTCGTGGTCCTGCAGATTGAACCCAGGAAGTGCTAAGCTACACCCCCAATCGCTTTTAATTTTGAGTCTGGGTCTAAATTGCCCTGGCTGGGCTCAAATTTGAGATCCTCCTGTCTTAGCCTGCCAGATGCTGGGATTACAGGCCTGCACCACCCTGTCTAGCCCTCCCCCTCTGAACTAGCCTCACTCCCAGGGCCACCAGGCTCCTGTGTGAAGGCTATGGAGGCTCCCTGGGGACACGTCACAGACAGTCTGCCTATCCTCTCGTGAGTCCTCAGACCCCCTTGCTGGGCCTCCACAGGAAAGAGGCCGCAGGGCCCCTCCCACTTGATCATTTTCCATGGTCCTGCTGGGGAGGGTGACCTCGGAGCTCACCTGGCAGAAGGTGTACTCCGCCACCTGCTCGAAGAGGCGCAGCAGGGCAGGGTCCCCGCTGTCCCTGTAACCCATGAGGAAGGCGATCATGGCTTCACTGTGCGGCCACCAGAGTTTCATGTCCCACTCGAGCTGGGGACAGAGCGGAACCGAGTGGCCAGGCGCCCTTCACAGGGACATCTGGCCTAGTCTTGCTGGCTCCTTGCCTGGGTACCTTGGGGGTCTCAAAGGCCCCTCAGAATGGCCTGGACACACCTAGGTGGCCTCCTAAAGGGCCGGGGCCCCCCATCACTGCAGAGCAGCAGCAGGATTGTGCCAGGGCACAACGGGTGACTGGGCTCCTTGTGGCAGGGGGCAGAACCCAGGGCTCTGGCTTCACATCCAGCCGGTGTCCCCTCTAAAGCCAGGCTGATGGCAGGGCGGCCCACCTGAGTGGGGCAGAGGCCATCGACGTCCTGGAAGTAGAAGAGGCCCCCATGCTCGGGGTCCCATCCGGAGTGGAAGGGCAGCAGGAGGAACTTCTCGATCACATGGGCTCGAAGCGCAGGGTCGCCTTTCCTGCTGGCATAGCCGAGCAGGAACCAGCCGGCCTCCAGTGCGTGACCTGGGGAGGGGTCCGCATGGGGGGTGGCGGCTCATAGCCCCAGCCGGACCACACCTGAGCCCCTGGCTCACTTCACCCCTCACCTGGGTTCTGGTGTCGCCCCAGGCAGCCAGGGAGCTCCCGGCCGTCCTCAGACACGTTCTCCAGAACCGCGTGGCCGTCCCTCTGCAGAGGAGGGGCAGGAGGTGGCTCAGTCCTTGGCTCCCAATCCCAGAGCTCAGGAACGAGGCTGCCCGCCCGCCAGAGGATTCAGAACGGTAGGCTCGGGTGCCCAGGGCCTCGGAAGGATGTGCATCAGGCCCCACCTGGGCTCGGACCCCTCCCTCCAGCCCCGCAGGCACCTGGAGGCACCCCCAACCTGGACGTGCCGCAGAATCCTCTGGGCGCACCAGTCCCCCAGCTCGGCGTATCTGCCGGCCAGCGCCTCGTCGTGGTCCCCGAGCTGCGCCACGAGGCTCAGCAGCATCATGGGCACCGCCATGGGCTCGGCGGCCAGGGTCCCCGAGAGCGGGGGCCGGCCCAGCCCTGACGGGTCTTCCCGCACCCAGCGGACGACCTGGTCCATCATCTCCGTGGCTTCCCTCTGCGGGGACCGGGAGATGGGGACGGGGCGAGGGGAGGTCGGGAGGGGGCTGCGTCCCGCGGGGCCCCTGGGTGGGAGCGCTGTGTCCCGCACGCACCCCAAGGAGACGTCCCCGGGGCGCTCTGGGGGCTCCCTCTCTGGGGTTCGGGAAGGGGAGGCTGAGAGGTGGAGGAGGCTGGGAGGCGGGGAGGGGACCTCCTAGTCGTGGTCCGGGCGCAAGCACCTGGTAGCGCGCGTCCCCCGTCACCCTCCAGAGCGCGTCCATGGCCAGGGCGTAGAAGCACTCGCTGAAGATGGTCCGCTGCACCTTGACAGGGCGGCCGTCCCGGGTCAGCGCAAAGGCGCACTTCTGCTCCGGAGGCGCCACCCGGGCGCAGCGCAGCAGGAACTCGCCACCTGGTGGCCACGGAGGGTGTCGCGCTCGACTCGGGTCAGGCCCCTGCCCCGCGCCCCCGGACCGGGTGGGCACGGTGAGGCCCTGGGAGGAGGAGCAGAAGGGGCACCTGCTTTCGCAGCGTCCAGAAGCTCCGACCTGCGGAACCGCTCGAACTTGCTGTACAAGTGACAGTACATCCACACCTGCAGGTAGAGGGCTGCTGGGCTCCGGGCCGGGCTGCGGCGGGGGGACGCGGGCGCAGCACATGAGGTGTGGTGCTGGCTGGGACGCTCCCTACCTGCCTCCCCTGCAGCCACACGTACTTGAGGTCGTCATACACCCGCCCGTCGCGGCCCAGGCACGTGAGGAAGCCCCTGTGGAAGCGCAGGGTCAGCGAGGCCGGAAGGAGCCCAGCCAGCACCCCCGGGAGTCGCCCTGGGGAAAGGCAGGGGCTGGAGACCGGCGGGCAGCGCACCCGTGCTCCCGGTCGTGCGAGTGCGCAGTCCAGAAAGCCACCACGCGGTCCAGCTCCTGCGCCACGCGCTCCTTCCAGGCTTGCAGAGCCTCCCGCTCCTTCTCCATGTCCTGGGGGAGACTCAGAGCTCGAGGCGCCAGTCCCCACGCGCTGCCCACTCCCGGGGTGCCGGCCCGGGGACCTCCCGCCTCTGCGCCGGCTCCTCACCCCACCGCCCTCCGGGCCCCGCAGGGACAGCAGCTTCCCGAGGGCCGGCCACTAGCCTGTCGCACTCCGAGACTCCTCCAGGAAGCCAGACAGAGCTGGTTGTGGTCCCGTGACCAGCACTCAGCTGACCGAGCTGTGCCCCACCCCCTCCTCGGGGTGCCAGGGGGCGGGGAAGGGAGGGGCTTCTGAGCCGCGCCCCCCCCCCCCCCCCCTCCGCGCTCCGTCTCTCCACCCTCCTGGTCGTCGGGCCTGGGATCGGGCAGAGGCTCCCGGTGGCATCCACCTGGCACCCTAGGCGTCTCCTGGTGGGCAGTACGGGGCGGGGACGGAGCTGGCAGGATGAGCGGGGAGCGCGGCCCGGGGTTCCCGCAAAGGGCAGCAGGAGAGGGCCCCCTGACCCTTGTTCCCCAAGGTGGGCACGGCCTCTGTTGACTCCGCTCTCCAGCCACTTCAGCAGCCCATGGTGGGCACCAGGGGCTGCTGCTGGAGGGCTGCATGGCTGGCCTGTCCCCCGGCCACCCACCTTGGTCCACTTGGCCTCTGGCTGTCCGGCTGTAGTCACAGGCCACCCTCCCTGCCAACAGGGCTGCCTCCAAGTGGGCGCAGTAGTCGGGGATCTGAAAGACCCACCTCCGGGAGGGTGCTGGGCCCCTCTACCTGTTGGTGCCACCCCAGGGACACGGTCTTGCTGTGCCAGTGCTCCTGCTGCTTGTGCCGGCCTTTGATGCCTGCTGGCATCTCCTCGTGGACTGTGGCTGCTTGGCTCCTGCTGGCCCACGCTGATGCCCTTGGCAGTCCACCCGCCCTGGGTCTCAGTCAACACACTCACAGGTGCAGCATTCAGGTGCTATAGTCATTCGTGGCCTCCCTCGCCCAGCCAAGGACAAACTAGGCATGAAGAGGGGCCTGGGCTTCTCCATCCCTAGTACTGGGGGGAGGTGGCACTGGCTGCAGTCGCGAGGCCACAGGCCAGGCAGATGGACGCTGCAGCCCCTGAGAAAGGAGTCACCAGAGCCCAGCAGAGTGGGACCAGGGCAAGCTCCACCGAGGCCACTGCACAGGGGTGCCTTGTTGGGGAAGCCGCGGTGCTGCAGGTCGAGGGAGGGACGCCTCTTGATGCCCAGGAGTTTCTGGTTCCTACCTGGGTGAGGCTGGCAGCAGATGCCAGGAAGTTGGGGATGCTGGTGTGCCCCCAGTGCCCTTCTCATGCCAGTGCAGGCCCTAACCTAGCACCGAGTGCAGTCCCGCCCACCTACCCCAGTTGCCAGCCTTGCCCCTCAGGGCCTGGCGCTTTGGGAGAAAAAGCCAGAGGGTCCACTCCTGTGGGACCCAGTGCCCATCATGTGCTCGGCACTGACCTATGGTTGGGGCGGCCTTTGGCAGCACACGGGAGCCAGTGCCAGCTCAGCAGTGGCCCCTCAATGCCTGCCAGGTCTCTGCTACAGTGCCTACCCTTGCAGGGCAGAGGCCACAGTGACCTACAGAAGGGGAGTGGGTGGCAGAAAGCCTCATCTGTGACCCAGGTCACAACTTTCCCTCCAGAGGCCACAGGACACCCAACACAGTGAGACACCAGATGGTTTTTTCAAAAAAGGTCTTTAATTGTTCAAAATAGCACAAAACGACATCGCACTATGGTAATATTGAGTCACAGGTTACTCTACAATAGATGAACAGGTGGTACTGTTCTCAGAAACAAGAGAAATCAAAGGGCGCTCAGGAGAGGGGACGAGCAAAACAATGGGACCGGGTGGTGGGCTCCAAGGCGACTAAACATGACATTTCCACAGCGAAATATACTATAATACAACGAACCAGAGGCCCTGCAGGTGTGGGCCAGGGCGGGGCACCCTCCATCCCCAAACCTCCACACAGAGATGGAGGGGCCAGAGACTGTCACTGGCGAACCTTGCTTGAGGCCTCCAGCCAGGGTGGCAGAGAAATCCCACAGGCCCCAGGGAGGCTGTAGTGAGCCCTCTGGGGAGTGGGGCTCAGCCAGGACGGCACTGTGAGCCGAGCCGAGCTGCAGGGCCACTTGCCTGGGCCCTCCAGTCCCTCTCCACGGGAAGTGCTCACCCTGGGAGGGTGGTGTCACAGTTCTGCTCGGCTGTCCCCAGAGGCCTGGGGACAGGCGGAGCAGAGGAGCCTGGGCTGGGTGGCCAAGCCCCAAGAGGGAGCAAAGGAGGCCCCTTCCGCACCTCTCCAGCCCCAGCTGCCCCGCTTTTCCTCCCCAAACATCCCTGCCAAGGGTTAGCCAAGGAGAAAAGAAGTTTTAAAAAAAAGGGGAAGAAAGAAAAAAGATACATTCTGTACACGGCTAACAACAAAAAAGGGACAAAGCCCCACACGCTAAGGCTAAAATTACAATAAAAATGTTAGCTTCATCAATTTCAACTTAAAAAAATACAACAAATGCAGCAGTTGGTGACGTGGCCCGTGCCAAGCCGGGCAGGGCGGAACCAGGCTAGTAGGGCCACTCTGCGCCCGCAGGCCGGAGGGTAACAGCCACTGCTCGGGCCCTAGGGCCCCTCTCGCCCCTCCTTGGCCTTCTTCCTTCCTTCTATAAAGCGGGAGGGAGGGGGAGATGGCAGGCAGAAGGCCTGAGAAAGAGGTGCTTTCTGCAGTTTGTGGAGGGTGGCTAAGCCTGAGGGAGGGGTGGCTGCAAACACCAGGTGACAAATGAGAGCGAGGAACCAGGACACGTGCGTGCGCAGCCTCTGAGTGGTGGGTGCAGTGGTGGCCTCTCCTCCACAGGCCCCTGAATCCCAGCCCCTGGGCCAGGAGGGCAGAGGAAGGGGGAACACGACTCTCACAGGCTCTCTGCTCCGCAACAGCGACAGCAGCGGCCAGCCGTGTGCTTTCTTCACATTGGAGCGGAAACAGGGGCAAGGAGGGGCAGCGGGCAGCAGTGGCGGGAGTGCGCGTGCCAGGCGGGCGGTTCCTGAAGCAGAGGGTCCAGGAGGGTCTCGGTTCAGCCAGCTGCTTCTCACTGACCATCCGCCTTCGACTTCTTTGGAGCAGATTTCCTTGGAAGGTGGCAGAGAACAAACACGTGTTATGAGGGTCCCACCACGCGCCCAGACCCCAGGCCCCCCCGCAGAGGCTCCCCGTGGGCCGTGCACCTACATTTCCGGAGAGGACATGGGCCGCTTGCTGGCTGGCTTGCTGCCCGAGCTGTCTTTACTGGTCTCTAAAAGGAACGGGGGGCCGCAAGTGAGCCCCCTGCCTCGGCCTCCCGGGCAGAGCGCCTTGGGGACCCCTCCCAGGCCCAGCTGCTCACCTTGCAGCCACCTGACTTGCGTGGCAGGGCCGTAGCCCTTCTCGTTGCGTGCGGCGATGCGAAAGATGATGGCGGGCTTGGTGGTGTAGTCAATGTGGGCATTGGAGAGGCTGGAGGACTGCACGAGGCACGAGGGGCTGGGCCCGCAGTACACACGCATGAAGGCCAGCTGCGCTGGCGCGGAGCTCTTGGCCTCGCCGCCTGCCTGCGAGCTCTGGATGGCCAGGTACACAGAGTACTCGATGATCTTGCCCGACGTCACGGAGGGCGGCTCCCATGTGAGGTGAGCACCGTCGGGACTCTGCGAGCGTGAGGGACGGAGGTGCGCTTGGCTGTCCGTGGCCTTGGCCCTCCCAGCCTGTCCCGGCTCATGGTGACCTGCCCTGAGTGAAGCCTCAAGGCCGCCCCCCACCCCATGCCCCTCCGCCCAGATGGGACCTGTCCCGTGCTTCTGCACTCAAGCACGGAGCTCACAAGGAACCCTGACCCCCGGGGATGTCTCTGGGCCAAGGGCAGAGCACACTGAACGGCACAGGGCAACAGCCAGCATGCTGCAGAGGAGACTGAGGCTGGGCGGAGGCCCTCCCTGTGCCCTGGATACCACCCGCCAGGCGACTGCCTCTGCCCTGGGAGCCTCCTGGGCCCCCCACCTGCACGGGCATGGGCCCACCCCATGGCAAGACTCACTTTGCTGATTTTAATGGCACAAGGGGCCCCCGGGAAACCCGGCAGACATGTCTTAAAAGCGGAGATCTCACTGAAGGGCCCCCGGCCGCAGGCGTTGATGCCGGCAACTCGGAACTTATAGGCTGTGCCTGGCTGCAGCTCCTGCTTCTTCAGCTGGCTGTAATCAGGGACGGCGCCCAAATCGTCCTGGGGCCAGATGGAAGGGCAGGAGGGCAGAGAGAGGAAAGTAGCGTGAAGCCGCTTCTGAAGGTGTCTCTGCAGGCTGGCGACACACTCATCACACTCGTCCGGCACGTGCCGACCCTGGGGTCCAGCCCAGCACCACCAGGTCCAGGCTGGCACCTGCAGACTTGTGCGAACTATGGAGTACGGGGCAAGGAGGGACACAGAGCCCGGTGGACCTTGGCCTGGCTGCAAGTGGGTTCACAGGTGCAGCTGCCGTGAAACCCCTGCTCTGGGCGGTGGGGCCAGGACTGTGACTGCAATGCCAGCCTTGGGGCCAGGGCCCAGGGACACTTACATCCAAGGGGACAGCGTCATCTGGTGGCAGGAAATAGTGTGTCACCATTACATTGGTGCCTTTAATGACCCCCACATCAAACCACTGGTTCTCTTTCTTCACAGGGGCCTTGCTGGGTGGAGGCGGCAAGTCTGGCTTCTGGAAACCGGAAACAGGGAGATCAGGCCCTTGGCCCTCAGGACCCGGAGCCGGCACTGCGCCCTGGGACCCCAACACCGACTCACCACACCCAGGGACTCGATGCCATTGGCCACTTCGGTCAGGGTAGCTGCAGCTTGCAGCTTGGCCGGGCTGGCGACCACAACTGGCTGGGGAGCCACGAATGTGTTGGATGGAGCCAGGCCTGGGAAAAATGGGATGTGATTGGGGAGGCTCAAGACCCAGGAGCCCTTGCGGCCCTCCCTGCCCCAGGGCAGCCCTTGCTCACTCTCAGTGGCTGTGGGGGGCAGCAGGGCCACGGTGCTGGGCACAGCGCCCGCCAGTTCATTGAGGCAGTTGCCCTCGATGGCCGGGTCATTGAGGCTGTCAGCTGGGGCCAGTGCCTCGGTAGGGAGGTGGTGCTGCTGCTGCTGGGCCTGGGCCTGCGCCTCCTGCAGCTGCTGCTGCTGCTGGACCAGGGCTGCCAGCTCCTGCTGCGTCAGCACAATGGGGATGGTGGTGGCCTGGCCCTCCTGGCCCTCAGCAGAAAGGTGACCCAGTTCTGCCTGGGTCACGGCCGCTGCCGCCTCGGACGTGTCCATGGGCTCCCCGGTACCTGCTCCAGGGCCAAGAAAAACACTACTCAAGAGGAACCCTGGCATGCCTGGCCCACGGGCCAGAGATGGCGGCCCTGGCGGCTTTTATCCTGTTTCCTCCACCCAGTTCTACCTTGGCCACTGCCCGCCCAGGGCCTACCAGGCCACTCTTCTCCCCTTGGGCTGCCCTGTCTGCTGCCGGTCACCGACCCAGCATGGCACCTACCCATGACGGCCTGCTGTGCAGCCTGCAGCACAGCCTGGATGGCCAGGGCCTGAGCTTCCTCGGTGGCTGCAGCCTGGGCAGCTGCCTCGGCGGCGGCAGTCACAGCCAGCTCCTCGGGTGTGAGGCCTGTGACCATCAGGGTGGTGGTGCCCGCCTGGGCCTCGGCCATGAGCTCCTGGGGAAGCGACAACTGTTCTACTTCAGACTGTGTTGGCTGGGGGGGCTGCACCACCACGGTGGCCACCACGGCAGAGCCAGTGGGCTCCTGGCCCGAAGACGGGTCCCCCGTGTTGCTCAGGTCCACAGCGGCCTGGAGCTCTGCGGGCGGGGCAGCGGCCAGGACCTCAGCCGGCTCCCCCATGAGGGGCGCAGAGGTGGACTGCAGGAGCTGTCGTGGCGGCAGCTGCTGGCGGGGCCCAGGGGAGACCTGCAGTTCCTCAGGGGGCTGCGGGTGTCAACAGCAGAGAAGAACACGTCAGGCGGTCCTGTGTCCCCACAGCCTGCAGGGGAGCCCCGTGGACCTGGGGGGTCACTCACAATGGGCCATCCAGACACCACGCTTGACGCGAGAGAGGACAGTGAGTCACTTGCAGAGTGAGGGGGCTTCGGTGAAGGGACCCTGAGGACCTCCCACCCTGTCACGTCAAACTGTCCTTAAAGAGGCCTTGTGGGCTGGAGCAAAGAGGAGGCAGAACCCAGTGCGCCCACAGTGAAGGGACACGCAGCAGCACACAGCTCGGGAGACAAACCTCCCCAAACCAGGGCGGCCCAGGACTGCAGCCTCCCTTCCGTCGGCGCAGCCTTTCAAGGTGTGGAAAAAGAGCAGAGAACAGCCCCTTGTGCGATCCAAGAGTGACACCTGGTGGTCAGCTCTGGAACAGCGTGGCCAGAGGCACAGCAGGCAAGCAGGCAGGCAGGCAGGCGGGCAGGAGGCGGGAAGGACCCTCTGGGATCTTACCGGCACTGAGGGGCCTGGGACAGGCGTGGACTGGGTCACAGTGGTCACCGCCCGTGGCAGCGTGGAGGACACAGTCGTCGTGATGGTGCTGGAGCTGGTGATGTTCACGCTGTCGCCCTGGGTGCTCTCCACCTCTCCCTGATCACCAGCGGCTGGTGGGGGGTCTGTGGGGGCCACAGTTGGGAGTTTATGCCAGGGACTTCCACCCTTCTCAAGGGGACCAGAGAGAAGGGACACCTTCCTGGAGACCTCTGCGTGTGGCTGGCACGACAGGACTGGACAACCCACCCTGTTAGTAGCACGGCCAGCCGCCTTCACCCACCTTGGTTGGAGCTCATGTTCGAGGTGACAGTGGTGGCCGTATGCGTGGTGCCTGTCTCGTGAGTCTCACAGGGTGGGTTGGAGCACACCCTCTGCGTCGGGAAGGGGGCCAGCAGCGCGGCCCCAGCCTGGCCAGGGGTGGGGGGCACCGCGCCAGGCTCCAGGGTCCTGTGGGCAGGGCCGGCGTCAGGCAGCAGGGCGCCCACACTGACAGACATGGTGGTACCTGTGGAAGTGGTCTGGTGCGTCTCGCAGGGGCGGCCGGCAGGGGGCTGCTGCCCCCCCTCGGGCTGGCCCGCTGCCCCGTGGGAGGTGGCGGTGGTGGCCGTGTGGGTGGTGCCCGTCTCATGGGTCTCGCACGGCGGGTTGGAGCACACCCGCTGGGCGCTGCCTGCGTTGGAGGTAGTGGCGGTGTGGGTGGTGCCCGTCTCGTGGGTCTCGCACGGCGGGTTGGAGCAGACCTGGGTCACGGTGGCCGAGGGGCACAGCAACGCCTCCAGGGCAGTCACAGTCACGGTGGCGCCGGGCGAGGCAGCCTGGAGGGCCTCATACGCAGGCGCAGGCATCCCCCGAGCCGCGCTGGGCTCCCCACTCTGGGTGCCGGCTGTGTGGGCATGGTGCAGCATCTCCAGTTGGCGCCCCAAGGGTACGTCCTTGCCACTCAGCGGGGCCAACTGCACGGAGGCGCACGGGGTGCCAGTGACCATCACAGTCATGGTGGTGCTGGTGGCGCTGGTCTGGCGAGTTTGGCACTGGGGCTTGATGGAGCCCTGGGCCCCCTCCAGCACCCCAGGAGCCACACTGATGCGGACCACAGTGGGGGCGCCTGAGGCACGGCGGGCATCACGCTGCTGGCCAGCACCGATGCTGGACATGGCCGTGGTGGCGGTGCTGGTGGTGCCGGTCTCGTGGGTCTCACAGGGCGGGTTCGAGCAGCCATGCTGCCCAGCCATGTTGGAGGTGGCCGTGGTGGCGGTGCTGGTGGTGCCCGTCTCGTGGGTCTCACAGGGCGGGTTGGAGCAGACACGGACCACGCTGCCATTCTGCTGCCCCACAGTCGAGGTCACGAGAGAAGCAGCGGCCTCCTGCCTGTCGCAGACAAACTGCACTTGGGTGGGCTGGGTGTGTCCCCCAAGGTTAGCCACGACAGTGGTGGTGGCGGTGTTGGTGGTGCCCGTCTCATGGGTCTCGCAGGGCGGGTTGGAGCACACCAGCGTCACGGTGCCAGGCTGCACATCGCCCTGGCCCGAGTCGGCGATGGTGACTGTGGCCGTGGGCTGCTCCGTGGTAGGCGAGGCCAGAATGGACACGGGAAGGTCATGCACAGGCTGGGCCTCGACCCCACTGGGAGCTGTGATCAGGGTCACCTGGGTAGGCTGGGAGACAGGCTGGGGGGCAAGAGCAGCAGTCAGGGCCCAAGAGCCGACTTCTCACTTCCACCCTCCCTCCAGCCTACGCAGGCACCCGTGCTGCAGCCCTCTGATGCATAGACGCTGGGAGCGGCCAGGCCATGGGGCAGGAGAGGAAGCCGGGCAGGTCAAGCCCTGGCAGCCGGCCGGAGGCACCTCAGCATGCCCAGGGCCTTGGCGTAAGAAAGCACATGAAGACAAGTGCTATATGCTTACAAGGGCAACTTGCCACTTACAAGGGCAATGCTAGCGTTCAAGAGATACCTCACCGCGGCAATCTATGGGACAGAGGCCGCACGTGACAGTGGGACAAGTCCGCCTGCGTGCCCGCAGGGCTGAGCCAGGCCACTCTACCTGCATGGTGATGGTGGGTGTGGTGAGCCCGCCAGCCGCCGTCAGCGTGGTCTGTGCAGCTGATACAGTGATGGCAGTGGGATTGATCACCTGGCTTGAGAGGGTAGCAATGGTGCCCAAGGTGGTGATGGGTGTGGCCAGGGAGGCGCTGGTGCTGTGGCCCCCGGCTCCAGCAAGGCTGGTGGATACAGTGCCTGTTACTGTGCCCAGCGTGGTGACCCCTGCGGGAAGGGAGGAGAGGCGGGGTGAGGCGGCCACACTCAACCCTCTCCAGCAGCGTCTTACCCAGGCCAGGCAGGGGGCATCTGCGGGGACGGAGCTCAGCCACCAAGGCCCTGGCCCGCAGGCTACACACCTGTGGTGCCCTTCACAACCAACGTGGTGACAGCTGGCTTGACAGCAGAGACAGTGACAGGGGTGACCAGGCGAACGCCTCCCATGGGCACAGTGCGGAGGATGGTGCCTGGCTGTCCAGGGGCCCCCTTTAGCACCACCTAGAACACCAGAGCAAAGCGCCACCAATGTCACTCCCAGGCCCATCGGGAGGATAGCACGCCCTGCCAGGGTGGACTGTTCCAGGGATCAGGGGAGGAGGCGGCCGGCCATGCAAGACTTACCTGAGTCACTCCCTGCTGCCCGTGGCCAGTGGCAATCTTGGGGACAGCAGTGATGATTTTGGCAGGTGCTCCGGTTCCCGAAGTCATAACCTTGGTGGTGATGATGGTGATGGGGGACTTAATGCCAGGAGTGCTGGTCACACCTGTGTGGGAGAGGGGGTCTGGGGAAGACCGGCTCTGTGAGGGCGTCCCTGTCCCCATTTCCCCCGGGGCTCCTTTCCAAGAAGCCACCCTGCCACCAGCTCCCTCTGCAGCTCAGAGACTGACCCGGCAACTCGAAGGCGGAAGAAGGAGCCCAGGGATGCAGCTCTACCCCTTCTGGCCGCACCCCTACCTGTGGCCCCCGCCTGGGTGATGATGGCTGACATGGGGATGGTCTTGATGATGGTGGTCGTGCCAGGCTTGGTGGTGCTGGGGGAGACACTGCTGATGCCCAGGATGGTAGGCTTGGTTCCCGCCCCACTGGCCTGTGTAGTGGTGATGATGGTGGTGGGCTTGCCATCTGCCGAGGTTACCAGCTTCAGGATTGTCCCCGCTGGCAGGGGCCCTTTGGTCTGAAAGGGGGAAGCAAGGGGAATGAACTGCACAGGCCTCTGCAGCCCAGGGGCACAATGGGTACATTGGGCAGTGGGAGAGAGCAGCAGGACCCTGGGCCATGGGTGCTCACAGGGCCCTCTGCACAGGGGACACCCATTGTGCAGAGCCCAGTGCTCACTCGTGCCTGTCGGACTGGCTGAGGGGGCATTTCCAGTGGGACCACGAGCTCACCTGGATGATCTGAGTCACTGGGCCGGTAGAGGCCTGGCCTGTGACTGCCGAAGTCTGAACTGGCTTGGTCTGGACCACGGACATCACTTTGCCCAGATTGGAAATCTAAAAAGGAAAGGACAGAGCAAAGAGTGAGCCGGGCACAAACAAGGGCACAGCCTGGGCTGGGCCTCTCTTGGAGCTGACCAGGGCACCAAGTCACCACTGGCCATCACACGGCCTGGCAGCTGTCACTCACCAGAGCGCTGCCTCCGGGGACAGAGATGGGACTCTTCACCAGGGTGATGGTCTTAGTGACACCACCCACCACCGTGGTCACCACCTGAGCTTGCTGGGCCACTGTCACGGTCCCCGATTTGTGCACCGTGATGATAGGGCGGGTAGACGTGTTGGCAGCAGAGGAGACAGATGTCCCCACTTGGGCGGCCGCAGTCTTCAGCATGCGAGTAGCTGGGTTGCTCACCTGGGGTGGGGGCCGAGACGAGTGATGAGCAAGCAGAGCCCACGTCACTGCCCCACCCTGACTGCAGAAAGTTCGGCTCAGGGCTGCGCCCAAGGCTACCACACCAAAAAGCGCAACTGCTTATTCCACAGCCTAGGCCCCAAAGTGACAGCTGCCTGTCCGATCCCAGCGAGCAGGGGCCCCCGGAGCTGAGGAGAAGATGGACCCTCACCATGACAGGCGAAGAGGCCACCTTCACGGTGGCAGGGAGAGTGGAGGTGCCAGGCGTCACAGCCACGGTCTTCACAATGGTGGTGCCTGCCGGGACACTCAGGACGGTAGGTGCCGAGGAAGGAGGAATCTTCTGGGTTGCAGCAGCAGCAGCTGCCAGCGCGGCCATCCCGCTCATCTGTGGGTTACTGCCAATCACCTGTGCCGGACATGGGGTGTGAGGGGCAAGGGCTCCCCTGCCTCCCGCTCCGTGGCCAAGCTGGAACCTGCCAAGTGTTTGGCAGCAGCCTTGGCTCTCCCTCCTGGCTCCCACAGGGAGGACACCCCCCCCCCAACAGAAACGGCAGCCCTGGTAGCAAGCGTGCTGAGCTCAGATCTTTCTAGAAAACTAGTCAGGGCTGGGGTGCAGCTCAGTGCCAGGGTATGCGCTCAGCAAGGGCAAAGCCCTGGACTCCCCGAGGTACCACGAACACCACCAGAGCCCAGGGGCAGCCGCAGCCAGCCAGATTATGGGCTGGCAGGCCAACACTTAAGATGGCCCGAGTGTCCTTCCCAGGCAACCTCAGGTCCCCTAGAAGCGCCACCCTATTGTTCCCCACAGACAGCCCACTGTCAGCACTTCAGAGGGAAAAGGCACACAACACGAAGCACGGGAGCAGGGTCACAGTCCCACCTAGGTTGGCCAGCCCAGCCCAGCCCAGTGACAGCTCCTTACCGTCCCCTGAGCACTCTGTGTGGGCACAACCATTCGCACACCCGCAGGCAGGGAAGTCACAGTGACGGGGGCTTTCCCAGCCTGGCTAGCAGGTCGCATGGTAACCAGTGGGGTTCCTGCAGTAGCCTGCGGACCGGCCACTTTGAGAACAGCAGGGACACCTGGCGAAAGAGGGGTCGGCCATCAGCAAGTGAGCTCTCCACAGCAGCCCCTGCCCCTGCCGAGTGGAGCACACAGGCCTGGGTTGCCTGCTGACCCAGGGCACAGCTTCAGTCCCCCACGTACCCTGAGTCCTGGCTGCAGTGGGCACGGCGATGGAGCTGCCCGGCACTGTAGGCAAGACCTGGATGGTTGTGGTGGTGGGCGGCGCCGAGGCAGCCTGGGGCAGGAGCGTGATGCCTACTTGGGTCAGCGGCTGCACGGCAGGTGCGGCTGCTGCAGGGGCAGGGCTCTTGGGAGGGTTGGCAGGCACAGATGGGACCGGGTTGGGTGTGGGGGAGGCGGCAGTAGCAGCCGTGGCAGGAATGTCGTATTTCTGGAGCTGCAGAAGGTAACTGTCGGCTGTTGCCACCGCCCCCCAGCTCACCTCCAGGGAGTTGGTATTGGCGCGTACCAGCTGGACCCGGGCCGGGGAGGGAGGCTTTTCTGCAAGAGAAGGCGGCTGGTGAGGCGGATGGCCTAGGCAGTGGTGGGGCCCAGCCGGACGGCACCTCACCTGTCTCCAGGTACCAGAGGTCCTTGCAGCAGACCTGGTTGTTCCAGGCCTTGCGGTAGCCGTCACGCCCACTCCAAATGTACAGGCGGGTGTTGATGGCAACGGCACAGTGGCCGGCTCGAGCGCGCGGAATATTGTCCTCCAGCGTGTCCATCAGGATGGTCTCCCAGGCCATGGTGTCTGCAGGGGTGGGCGCTGGGGTCAGCAGGGAGGGCAGAGGAAGCCACCCCGCTGGCTCCCAGCTGCCCGTCCCCTCCCTGATGAGATAGGGAAGCAGAAGCAGGAAGCTGTCACAGTACTAAGATAGAAACAAAAAACCAAAAGCGATAAAAAACTTAAAAAGATAAAACACAAAGAGCAAACCAGGAAGGCTTCTTGTGTGACACGGCCGAAGGTTTCAAGTCTCACACATCAAGCAACAACCCACAGACACAGACAGGCAAAGGAACCCTAACTCCCAGAAAGACACACACCCTTGGTCAAAATACAAGCAATACGGACTGAAAGCACACGGTGCCTCGTGGCTGAGTTCCATGCCCACTGTAGCAGGGGCCCCAGGGGAGCCAGGGCTGGGGGCTGGCACACAGGGAGCTCCCGCCACCCAGCAGAGGCTGGTGGGGGACTGAAAGCCAGATTCCAGGGACCGAGGCACTGCCAGGGGTGTCTGCTCTGGCAAAGGCTCTATGCAGACATTTGGACCTCTAGGGTAGGGAAACCGTCTTGCTATGTTGCCCAGGCTGGTCTGATCTTGCAGGCTCAAGGGATCCTCAAGTAGTTGGGCCTACAGCCAGGGTCCACTGTGCCCAGCTTTCCTACCCGAAGTTTCTACTCATGGAATGCACTTGGATGGGGGTGCACAGTGCCTATACAGACTGTGGGCCCATGACGGCCTGTTCACTGTGCAGGGATGCAGTAAGTGGGCAGGCCATGACTAGTGCGTGGTCGCCAGTGAGGTGTGCTGAGGAGTCCCTGCAAGGGGTACCGCGCAAGGCCAGAGCCGCAGGCGCAAAGAGAGTTAGGAGACAAGCAAGAGCAGAGCACTTCCGAGCGCGGCCCCTGGACACTCTGCTGGCTCCCGCCTCTCGCACCCCACAGCTCTCAGGGCCAAGGGGGTCAGCCTCCCGCAGGCCACACCAAGCGAGCCCCAAGAGGCCATACCCAGGTTGAGACAAGCCAGGGTGTTGGTACACTTCCACTCCTTCTCATGCGTGGCCACTTTGACATCGTCCATGACTAGGGGCACCCAGCCACCAAACACGTACATTCTGAGGAGGAGAAACAAGCTAGAGGCCACCTCTTCCAGCCAGAAGTTGGGACAGGCTTGGTCCTGCAGCTCTACCCAGGAGTCCCCAGGGCATCTAAGACCCTTGGTCCTGACTCTACTCAGCCCACCCAAGGCACACCGTGCTTTCCACCATCCTCGGCTTCCTTCCAGGACCTTGGTGTCCACGCACACAGCTGCCAGCGTTGCTTGCCCACAAGTCGACACCCACAGTGGGGCCCAGGCAGGGCCTCGGGCTGGGTGGTAGCCTATGTGCTGAGCTATATCCCTCCCTAGTCCTTTCTTTCTTTCATGTCTTGAGCCAGGCTCTCACTAGGCTGCCCAGGCTGGGCTGGAACTCGGGACCCTCCTGGCCTGGGCCTCCCAGTGTACTGGGATGACAGCCGTGCACACCACAGCCCCCTCCACCCCAGAACCATCTCCTCTGGGTCCCCAGGGCTGGAACACATGCCAGCCACCTGGGAGGAGGCCTCCCTGGGGCTTAGGGAAGGGAGGAGCAGCCACTTACTTGTTTCCTATGGTGGTCGCAGAGTGGAGACTACGAGGAAGCGGGGCCACGCCACTGAGACTGGGCTTGTTCCATGTCAGTGTCTCTGCAGAGGTAGAGAGAGGTGGAAAGAGGTGGCCTTTTTCTGCATGCCAGAGAGCTGGGGCTAGGCCTGCCCCTGCCTGCTAGAACCGCCAGCACCAGGTTCCAGCATTCCCAGAGCTGGCCTGACCATCTTGGCCTGGTTTCTCCCACCTCCTGTCTCCATGGAACCCAGTCCCTGCCCCTAGCACCCTGCAGGCTACACTCTGGGAAGTACTATGCTGAAGCTGTGACCACCCTGTTTCCACTGGTGCCAGCTCTGAGCCAGGGCGGCAGAACCGATACCCACCCTCCCAGCAGCCAACCCTCCAGGACACGGCAGCCATCCCTCCAGGACACGGCAGCCATCACCAGGTCACCAGCTCAACAGTCCCCAGGTACCCAAGGGTCTACGGACATTCGACTTGGTGGCTGCATTATTCTGCAAATACCCAGACCACTGTCGAGTCAGCAGAGATCAGGGCCACCTGAAGTGAGAGTTCCCTCTAGAAAGAGCAATCTCGTCTCTCCCCTTATTCTCCTGTACGACGGCAGACCAACTCAGCCAACTGAGCCATATTCTTCCTTAAAAGGAACGCCCCTGGCCCAGGGTACCAGCAGGAGCCCCCACCCTAGGGACCATCCCGAACCCCACCTCCAGCCTGCCGTGAGGAGGGAACAAGCAAGAGCAGCAGCAGCAGCAGCAGCTTCTTCTTACCAATGTCAAGGGTCCAGAGGTCTCCCAGCCTGCAGCCACTCATCCCTCCATAGATCACCAGCTTGGACTTCTTGTTGTCCCTCTCCGTGTAGACCACAGCAGTATGTGACTCTCGGGGTGGGGGCAGGACCCCGTAAGTGATAGGGATGTCCCAGGCCACCACTCCAGAGCCAGGCCGTAGTTCCAGGATGTATAAGTCATTCAGATATCTGAGAGAGAGAGAAAGAGAGAGAGAGAGAGAGAGAGAGAGAGAGAGAGAGAGAGAGAGAGAGAGA